ATCTTTCATCAGATCTCGGACTACGGCCTTAGATTATGAATTATAATCTTAATGATCGAGACCAAATTCGTAGAACTTATCTACAAAAAGGTCTTTGTCAACCCCATGACCATAATTTTCCACAAAAAGAATTTTGTATTAAATTACGACGGTTTAACAAAGCTTGATTTTCTTAATTTGGTAACTGACTTGAGTATAGTGTAGCAAAAGATGTAGCATTTTGCTTGTGCTGTTATTTTTGTAAATTAGATATAAGAGAACAATAGGGTGGCAAAACCTTTAATAGCTCGGGCTTTTCAAATTGGAAGAGAATAGAGAAGTTCTAAATACATGTTGGAGGCGTTAATAGTTTTCATAACCAAGGTTGGAGAAAATTTCAAGATTTATTAAATCCAAAACAAAGTATTGAAGCTATTTTCTTCAAACAGTCAGACCAAGCTTGAAGTGAAAATAGAACCTGGTTGAATGTATCCTGATTATATTCGATTTCTTCTAAGGCAAGGGCTTACATTTTGTGGTCACAATGAATATGAGAATTGAAGTCACCAAGGAAACTTCCTTGAGCTTCTTAGATTTCTTGCGAATCACAATAAGGATATTAAAGTTGTGTTGAGAAATCCTCTTGAGAATCTCAAGTTGACTTCGCCTGAAATTCAAAAAGACATTATAACTGCAGCTTCTGGTGAAACGTGTAATGTTATTGTGACCCTCCTTGGAGATGCACTTTTTTCTATTCTTATTGATGAATCACGTGACGTATCAACAAATGAGCAAATGGTTGTTGTGTTGTGATTTGTGGACAAGTAGGGATATGTAGTTGAACACCTTTTAAGTTTTGAACATGTTACTAATACTAGTGTTCTCTCACTTAAAGGTAGCTATAAAAGATTTATTTGCTAGATATGAGTTGGGCTTGTCAGGATTGCACAGGCAAGGTTACGATGGGGCTAGTAAAATGCGATGTGAGTTCAATGGTCTCAAGACACTTATAATGAAGGAGAATGAATATGCATATTATGTTCATTGTTTTTCGCATCAATTGCAATTAGCTCTTATGGCTATTGCAAAGAATCATATTCGAATCGCGACTCTTTTCAACTTAATTGCTAATATTGTGAATGATGTGGGAGCCTCATGTGAACGACGAGATATTTTTAGGGAGAAACAAGCAACTAGAGTTATTGAATTACTCGATAATGAAGAGCTTTCAAATAGTCAAGACCTAAATCAGGAAACTAATCTTACACATACTTTTGATACACATTGAGGTTCACATTATTATTCGTTGATCAACTTGATTAATATGTTCTCATCAGTGACTGATGTGCTTGATTTGGTTTCAAAAGATAGTATAAATGCAGAACAAAAAGGGGAGGCAAATGTTCTTTTGGATTTGCTACAATCTTTTGAGTTTGTATTCAATCTTCATTTAATGAGAAATATTTTGTGAATCACAAATGAGTTGTCGCAGATATTACAAAGGAAAGATCAAGATATCGTGAACTATTATGACATCAGTTCAAGTATCCAAGTAACGACTTCAAATGATGAGGAAAAGTGGTTGGAGTTATTTTCTTGATGATGTCACATCTTTTTGTGAAAAATATGAGATAGTTGTTGCAGAGATTGATGATATTTTTAAAGCTCAAGGGAGGTCAAGACGTACTTAAGAAAAGATAAATTTGCATCACTGTAAAGTTGAGTTATTTTATACTGTCATAGATATGCAACTTCAAGAATTAAATAATCATTTTACTGAGTCAAACACTAATTTACTTCTTTGTGTGACATGTTTGAGTCCTTCTGATTCTTTTTTACCTTTTGAAAAGGAGAAATTAGTTCGTCTTGCCCAATTTTATCCCAAAAAATTTTCTTCACTAGAGCTCATGATACTTTCTAATCAGCTGGATAGTTATATTATTGATATGTGCTCTAGTATTGAGTTTTCAAATTTGTTAGGGATTTGAGATCTTGCTCAAAAAATGATTGAGACAAATAAACATGTGTTATATCCATTGATCTACTTACTTGTAATATTGGTATTGATCTTGCCAATTGCGAGAACATTTTCAACTATGAAGATTGTGAAGAATTGATTGTGTAATCGAATGAGCGATCAGTGGATGATAAATAACTTGATTGTATACATAGAGGACATTTTCAATTGCATTGGTAGTGTTGTTATCATGCAACGCTTTCAAAATATGAAATAACGTCGTGGTCAATTGTAAAAGAACATAGTTAATCTCATTTTTTGTAAAAGGAGTCTAATTAAAACCTTATTTTGCGGATTTTTTTTTATTTTTGTATCTCGTGTATATCGTTTTTGGCTCTTTTGTCAATGAAATTCTAGGTATTATATATAATTTAAAAAATTTATTTGTCTTTAACTTTAATCTTTAAGAAAATAAATTTTTAAACTTATAGTTAGTGCCCCCCATGTATAAATTCCTGGCTTCGCCCCTGTATCCAAGCCTATTCTAACTTCTATAAAGAAAAAAAACCTCTGTTAGATTAATTTGATCACAACAACTTGTGTTGTTATAGTATAGACAACAATATTAATTTCTTTTTTAATGGACACAAATTGGATCAAAGAAATCTATTGAATATACCAATGAGAATAATTTATATGTAGAATTATAAATAATTAAGACAAGAATTTATGATGTTTCGCTTTTCTTTCTTGTTACAAATGTGTATGAATATATACACACACACATAAAAATCCTAAATAAAAAATAATTAAGTTTGACAAAATAAAACATGAAATCACACAACATACATGAAATCAAACAAAAAATTAAACGGATAAGTAATACTAATATATATCTCATTAGGAACTTAGTGTTAATCTAATAATTCCTGTGAAATCGCATCATTATGTCAACAAATTAGATCAAATTTTTAGGTCCAAATAACATTATTCAAATTCACATTGAAAAATCCTTTTTTGTGCAGGATATATAATAGGAAATAGTGAATGAAACCCTAATTTTAAGAAGATAGAACGTGAACTTATNCACATTGAAAAATCCTTTTTTGTGCAGGATATATAATAGGAAATAGTGAATGAAACCTTAATTTTAAGAAGATAGAACGTGAACTTATTATTAAAGGGGTGTAAATAACATATGGTGGGTTTAGTTAAAATGGGGTAAACATAGTAGTTTGATTAAAAATTTTAATGGGGTGAGAATAAATATTTATGAAGTGAAAATAATCACACCCAAAAAAACCCGATCCTTCCCTATCAAATGCAGGCACACTCCTCACGCCTCTCTCTCTCTCTCTCTCTCTCTCAGATCTGATCTTATCTCTTGCATGCACACACAATTTCATATTTGAGTCTCGTCCCTTTCGCTGCTACAAAATCAGAGTTTCTCTCTGTTGACGAACCTTTACATAAGGCTTAGTCAAGCGAGCTCCAATCTGACCCATTTTGAGGTAATTTGTACTAAGTGAACATTTAATTGCTATATTAGTCATGTGGTATTATTGTTTAATGAAATTTTTTAAAAATAAATAAAGTGAATCTTTTTTTGATTAAGATTAATTATTATATTACATCAATAGTTGGTTGTCTAATTTTGTAAGATTCTTTTATTTACTTATTAATAAGTCAAAACATAAGGTAACATGTATAACTTTTTTTTGTTATTCAACCATTCAAAATATTAGAGTCAATTTACACGCAACTCGATATATATAATGATTTATAGTGCGTTTGATAACGTTTTTGTTTTTATGTTTTTTTTTATAAAAAAAATAGAACTATGTTTTGTTTTTTTTTTTTGTGATAAAAATTAAAACTATAAAACATGTTTGATAGTCATTTATTTTTTAAAAATTATGAAATAAAAATAAAAAACTTGTTTGATTTTATACCAAAGATTCATCACCCAAATCCCACCAACCAACACCACTAACCACCCAAAACCACCACCTAACTCTACCATGGAAANTTTTTTAAAAATTATGAAATAAAAATAAAAAACTTGTTTGATTTTATACCAAAGATTCATCACCCAAATCCCACCAACCAACACCACTAACCACCCAAAACCACCACCTAACTCTACCATGGAAACCCACCACCTAACCCCACTGACCACCCCCACCATGGAAAGTTTGAAACCCACCGAAACTCACCCCTAATCCATGCCCACCCCCATCCTCACCACTGAAACCAACCGAAACCCACTCCCAATCCACCCCCACCACCACTGAAACCCACAACCCACCCCCACCAGCACCGAAACCCACAACCCCCACGCCCACCACTGAATCTCACCCCTAATCCACCACTGAAACCCACCCCCCAATCCACCATTGAAACCAATCGAAACCCACCCCCACCACCACCCACAAAACCCAACCACGTAACTCCCCAACAGAACCCATTAGAGAAGGGCAATAGAGAGAGAGTGTGTGTGTGTTGGCTCTTTTGTCACTCCTTCGTAGCTCTTTGTAGCTGCCTAGTGAGAGAGATGAATGAGAGAGATGAATGAGGGAAGAGGAAAAAGGAGTAAGGAATGCTTTTATAGTGAGAATGAAAAAATTTTTTTTTTTTGCTGCTAATGGAGTTCGAAGGCTAGACTTCATTAAATGGGTTAAAGGGATGCCCATGTGTTCCTTTTTCTGTGTTTTCAAAAATACCTCTTTTGATGTTTTTAAAATTTGGGGTCGTTTACAAAACAGGTCAACTAAAAAAAAAATAAAAACACTCTTCAAACGCGTCAGTATTTTTTCTTTTAGCAAAAAATAAAAATAAAAACTGAAAAAAATACAAATACATGATTAGCGAACACTACCTTAGACGTAGTAATCAAAGTGAAACACAGCTTGTTTGTTCCACTTGGAGCACTGGTGACAAGTATAACCTTTTGTTTTTGTTTTAAATTTAATCATTAAAAATGTTTGAATGAATGGCACGCATCTTAAAATGTATAATAGTTTAATAGTCAAAAGGGAAACACAACTTTGTTTGTTCCACTTGAAACATAACGGACTAAATCAATACCTGACCCGCACTAGAGACTTCTTTCGATTTGCCGTCCGCAAAGACGAAGAAAACCTAGCACAGGTTGCCTCTTTCGATCATTTCCACAAACACCTCACTTGCAATCCCCGAAACCGAAACTCTCACACACACGAAGATGTTGGCTGCTAAAACCTTCTCTTCTCTCGCTTCCTCTCTCCCAAAAACCCTCCAAACCCCCAATCTCACCATCCCACCACTCTCCTCCACCGCCAAGACCAAACCCCAAAACCCATTTCTCACCTCATGTCTCAAATCATCCTCACAAGCAATACTCACTGAAACCCTCTCAACCCATTCAACCCCAGGTCCAACCCGTGTCAAAATCCTCTCAGAGGCCTTACCCTTCATTCAGAAATTTCGCGGCAAGACCATCATAGTTAAGTACGGCGGCGCCGCCATGAAATCAGAGCAATTACAGGCCTCCGTTATCGCCGACCTCGTCCTCCTCTCCTGCGTCGGCCTTCGCATTGTCTTCGTCCATGGTGGCGGACCCGAGATCAACCACTGGCTGACCCGGTTGGGCATCAAGTCTAATTTCCTTAATGGCCTCCGAGTTACAGACGCCTCCACCATGGAAATTGTTTCAATGGTGTTAGTGGGTAAAGTCAACAAACACCTTGTAGCTTTAATCAACAAGGCCGGCGCAACCGCTGTGGGCCTATCGGGCATCGACGGCCGGCTCTTCATGGCCCGGCCGTCCCCAAACTCGGCTGAATTGGGTTTTGTGGGGGAGATTGCTAATGTGGATCCCACTGTCCTCCGGCCGCTCATCGATAACTACCACATCCCCGTGGTTGCGTCAGTGGCGGCTGATATGACTGGGCAATCGTACAATATTAACGCGGACACAGCAGCGGGGGAGCTGGCAGCGGCACTAGGGGCGGAGAAATTGATTTTGTTAACTGACGTGGCGGGGATACTCGAAAACCGGTATGATCCAGGGAGTTTGGTGAAGGAAATTGATATAAAAGGCGTTAAGAGGATGATGGAGGATGGGAAGATTGCTGGTGGGATGATTCCTAAAGTGAATTGTTGCGTGAGGTCATTGGCACAGGGGGTGCAAACAGCGAGTATCGTTGATGGAAGGTTGGAGCACTCTTTGCTGCTCGAGATTCTGACGGATGAAGGGGCTGGAACCATGATCACTGGGTAAAACTATTGGAACCAAATTGTTGTTAGTAGCTGATGTTTGAATGTTATTTGGATTAGGATTGATTAAGCTATAAGATGATGTTTTGATTTATGGATAAGAGATTGAGAATGTCTGTCACATGATTCACGAGAGAGAAGAGATGTTTTTGTATCAGTAGGTTTTTTCTAATAATGAGCTAATGATCCCAAGTACCTTGAATTTGTGGATTGAGTTTTGTTTGTTTAGCTGTATTATTATAAATCATGAATGGGCATCCATTAATCTCAACAACTTTTTTGGAACATAAATATAAGATAGTTGATTTAACAATTGCTGTTCCGAAAAACAAAAATGCAGAATTTGTGAATTCAATGTTTCAAATTCTATACCGTTTAGGAATGGGACTTGGGTTGAACAGTTTTATGTTTGCATCACCCAGATTATGTATGACAACCACCTTTATATACAATATCTTGAGATAATGAAGAGTAAAAAGTATCTGGGAGAACCCTATCTGGCACTTGCCAAGTAAAAAGGACATTTATTGGCATTGATCCCTACAATGCATGGTTCTGGAGTGATAAGCTGGACTCAAACAAGTGGCAGTTCACAGTCTCGAACCTTTGTATTAGTTCCAGTGGATATTGTAATAGCTCTGCACTTTGCATTTTCTTGTTAGATGTAAAGTGAGTCCAAGTACTGAGATTTGATTCAAGAATGAACACCAAGGACTTTGCCCTGAAATCTGATTCGCTAGGCTGTTGCATCTATGATCGAAGTACTTGGGAAGCTGTTCCAACCTCGTCAATCATGAAGAATCTTGTATAGCCAGAGAGTATCAGATGGAGTTGCCCTCAAACTTAGATGTTGGGTCATCACTAACTCCATCAAAGGAGTTCTTGAAGGACAAGTTGTTCCTAGAGAGGGCTGTCCCCTCATATTTTCAATGTCAACCTATGTGATTATTACACATAAATGGAATTTTATTCGTTTAATAAGCTCCTCAAAAGTATCCAAGTATCTGGTCAACTATTGGAAAATGAACTGCCATCTTGTTTGGAGGTGCTGTAACTATTCCCAACAAAAGTCACATCTGTGGAAATCTGGAAGCACGCCTGTTTCTATGATGATCTTGGTAATAAAAAGCTTTTTGGCTTCCTAGTGTATGCTTAGACCTTCCTTCCCTTGTGAATGAATTTTTTGGTACACATTCAATTGGTTGTTTATCTGTTAGGTACAAGTATGCTGGCAAATAAGGTTGAGGAAGATTATTTGCATTCAACAGATTCGAATGATATGAAGGGATATGTCCATGCCATGACTCAAATGATATGAAGGGGTATGACCATGCCATTGAGCAGTGCTGCGATAATGACATCTCTTATTTTGTCATATGGAGATTTTAGGTATCTTCTTGTCATATTATGAAAGGTTAGTTGAATATGTTTTGAATAGAATTTGTGCTATACCTAATGGATTATTGAATAGTTTGATTAACTAAAACCAGTTTAATTATATATACATATATATTATATTATTATCTTATCAGCTTGGTTTCTACTGAGTGGAAAGTGTGACACCTTAATTTTAATCATTTTTGTATGTTTCTGCTATGAAGGTCCTGTATTTTAAATCCATTACGATGGTTGAGCTCAGAACTATGCCACTGGTCAATGAAAAAGCAACGAGGCTGCCATAACCCTCAAAGGTGAAGTTCAAATGTGATGGGGCTTTCAACGAAAGTGTCCATAAGGCATTAGTGGGTATTGTAATCAGAAATGGAAAGGGAGAGTTGCTGGAAGGAAGAGCAAGAACTATTCCACTGGTATCAATTCGTTTAGCTGAAGCAATGGCAGTTAGAGAAGCTTGCCTCATGGTGGCATCCACTCTGAATTTAGAGCCTGCAATTATTGATAGCGATGGTGCAGGAATCATTCAGCTTGGCTCTACTGAATCCACCCGGGCAATTGAAACTTTGGGAGAAGACATTAGAGGTATTGTTGCAAGACTGCGGTTACAATTGAGCCATGTTCCAAAAATAGTAATCAAGCTGTTCACTGGGTAGCTGCAGCCGTAAGTAGAAATGCTTTACCAATCGAGCTGACATAAATAGTTCAGTATCAATGAAAAGGCAATGGCCACCAGTTCAAAAACAAAAAGATGGTTGATCTCAGGATCTTTTATATGCATTGATGGGTCAAGTTCAAAGGGCCTAGCTCAAATTATAAGTCCTGTCCGAGTTTATAGTTCATCTCCAAGAGGTCTAGCAAGTGTAATTCAATACGGTCAACTAGAATAAGCTCATTAAGAATTAAGGAGCAACATTAGCAGGGAGTATGCAAGGTCATCCAAAAGCCTCCTCTATCACTTTGGAGCAAGGGTTGTCCAAGAACTTCCTCTACCACCTTTGGAGAAAGGGTCGTCCAAGAGCATTTTCTACCACTTTGAAGTAAGGGTCATCCAAAAGTCTCCTCTAAGCCACCAAGGGAACATCTAGAAGCCTCACCCTCGCCGTTCAGAGAGAGTCAACTTTACCTCATCCTTTGACTAAGTTTTTTGGAGAGCACCATAACTTTCTTGCCCGTTGAGGAGAGGAGAGATCGTCAAGCTATTTAATCACTATTAAAATCACCCCAATCCGTTATGACTATTAAACGGCCCCAACCCGTTATGACCGTCAGACTAGTTATTCAATTACTACACTAAGTCACTATAAATTTTAAACTTCGCTAACACTTGGGAGACATCTCTCTCATTTTGAGCATAATACTCTCCTCTTCTCTGAAAGTTTGTAATCTTGTGCTCTCTCTCCACACCAGAGATAATAAAATTCTGGCAATCCTTATCATTCAAAGTGAACATAAGTCATATTGATCGAACCACTATAAATCTTTTTTTCTCTCTCCCTCTACTTTGCTGTATTTTATATTGTTTAATTGACAGGTGGTGTGCAAATTGATTTTGTGCATCATCATGCATGTTTGCAGAATGCTGATGTGCTCACTCGTGCATGTAACCTTGTTTGTGACATAACTTTGGGATAGTTTAAGTGGTAATAAGAACGAGTTGTAAATTCAAAGTTCTTAATTTAAATCTTAACAACTTTTTAGGTTCAAGTTATGAAGGATTTATCCGTCATGAATATTTTAATTTCTGCTTGAATGACTTATTTTTGACCAAACGTGAGAGGAGATTAGTTAAAGTGTACGTAAATTGATTCGAAAATTTTTTATTATTAATTAAAAAAAAACAAAGATAGCACTTCACTGATGTGACCAAAATGTTTCTGGACTTACCCGGTGAATTGAGTGGCCTATGTTCCCACGAGATAAATGGACCTATTTTGTTATTACAAACTTGTTCTATGTTAAGTATCAAAAAAACTAAATTATTGTACTTGAAATTTATGCAGGGTTATCTTTGGGGGTTATAGGAAGCAGTCTGATACTACGATGCACTTGGATATGCAAGCTTTCCACCCATCTCCTCCATAACTTCCTTACATTGTTCACGATACAATGGGTGCTCTTCTTTGCAGAGACTCAGTGGAATAAAATGAACTCCAAACACATTCTTAAATCACCCATTTTATAAAGAGATAGACTTGATTCGACGCAATTAATAAACGAATTAGATATAAGAATAATCAATTAAAAAAATACATAATATGACTCGTTTATATATCAATTATATACGATTTATATATGACACGATTCGTTAGATACAAATTATTAAATAAATTAGATATAAGTGAAATAATTTTTGGTACAAACATTCTAATATCCAACATAAACTTGTCTCACCCGACCCAATTACATACCTATAAGTGATGGGGCCAAATTTTAAATGCAAAATTCTTATCGTACAATTTTGTCGGACCACACCTTACCCACTGAACCAATTCTAATATCAGTCATCCAATTTCAGAGTATCTTTGGACCAAGCATTTAGGGTAATTTAATATTTGAGTATGACTTTTGATAATTTAGAAATTTCAAATTCAACATTTCACATATCTCTAAAAATCAATGTCTTTGTTCTTTATTAGTGGATATGTTTTGAACCTGCTCGAACTATGATAGTCAGTATCCGAGTTCAAGAAAGTTAAAAAAAAAAAAAAAAACCAAGACCCATGTATAATGTCAAAATTTTCCTAAATTCCACGTCGGTATCTGAAATTCTAAATTATATGTTATTCCTGTCAGACGGCAAATGACACTTGTCAGCCACCCATTAAGTGGATCAGCCAAACAAGATAACATGAACACATTCTCACTCCTAACCACCAAGAACGTCCTACCACTCCCCCCAACACTCCCACTCCTCCAATCATCAACCACAAAGCAATGGTGTAGATGCTAACCATCAGCGAGCTCAATCACCATAACCGCCGGCCAGAGCCGAGTGGGGACGAGTCAACAACACCAAGAGTCCTAGCCATCCTGTCCCACGTGCTGGAGAAGCTGGTGGCCCGTAACGATCAACTGGTGGTTGGCTTGACGGGCCACCACCCGGATGGACTGAGCTCGGGCAAAGCTCAGCTAGGGAAGAGCTTGAAAGCCTTTCATGGCGTTCGAGCACCCAGTATTAGCATTCCAAAGTACTTGGAGAGAATATACAAGTACACGAGCTGTAGCCCGTCGTGTTTGGTGGTGGGGTACGTGTATATAGACAGGTTGGTGCATAGACATCCTGACTCGCTTGTGGTGTCGCTCAATGTTCATAGGTTGCTCGTCACTAGCGTCATGGTTGCCTGTAAGATGCTGGATGATGTGTAAGTTCGTTTAATTTTGTGTTTGATTGTGATATGGTGGGCAATACTATCTTTTTGTGAGCTAAATTTAAGGGGAGTGAAGGGTTTGAAGTTGGTATATGGTTAGCTATAGGGATAGCCCGAAGAAGGTTACTATCTCAAAATCCCCTAAGAGAACTTTGATTTATTTCATGTATACATTTAGGTTAGTTGCTAATTGCACAAGCGGTGAGTTTGTATTTTATTCACGAGTTCAAAAGATATGAATGAAATGATTGAAATGTAATTAAGATAGTTGTCTGTCAATTCAAAATTAAAAAAAAAATAAGAAGGTAAAAGTTGTTGTAAATCCCTCTTTTGTGGGATTGAAATCAATCATTTAACATGTTATCAAAACCTTAAAATATCGAGTTCAAAAGACATGAATGTTCTAAAAAAAAAAGTTTGTTGGTGTCTAAGTATATGCTAGGTCTTTTAATCGTGTCGGGTGAGATAAGTTTGTGTCAAATTTTAATGTGATTGTGTCAAAAAGTACTTTACTCATTATGGATTCATTTATTAATTCGTATCTGATGAACCGTGTTATATTGGGTCCATTCGTATATAAATCGTATTTAATCGGTATATTTATGAGTTTTTTTTTTATTGACGTCACTCATACTCGATTCGTATTAATTATGTCGTGTTAGATTCATTTGTTTACGAAACGGATGGCTTAAAAAAATAAAAATCTAATAATTTCGTGTTGTGTTAACGGATTATGTTATATTTTGAGACGGAAAAAATTTATCTCATTTTATGCTAACTTTGATCTACAAAAAAAAAAATTGTTTTTTGAGATTGATTCTTTCACTGTTTCCTTGGTTTGCAACAAGACTAGGCACTACAACAATGCCTGCTATGCCCGTGTTGGGGGAGTGACCAATGCTGAACTGAACAGGCTAGAACTGGAGTTGCTCTTCAGGTTAGATTTTGAAGTTACTGTCAGCTCTCGAGTTTTCGAAACCTACTGTCTACTCTTGGAGAAAGAAATGACGTGCAACGACGCAGACCAAAAGGTTGAGAGGTCAATTCTAGCGAATTCTGTCGACGAGGTGACTGAAATATCAGTCGAAGACATGCAAAGTTCTTCGCCGCCTCAAGCAATGGACTGACCGGAGTTTTTCTCCATCTAATTCTTGTACCAGGTAGAGATGTTATTGTGGTGAAGTTGATCCCATTGAGCCAGAGGCTGTTCTTTTTTCTCTGTTTCATGTCACCATGTAGCAGAATGTAGTCAAGCACTAGTACTGTCTTTCACAAAATTGAGAAAATAGAAAAGGAAATTAAAAGAAAATGAGTGGTAAGTGGAAGTTGATATACTTCTCTCGAGCCTAACATGATATAAACTCGATAGATGATCTTTTCTGTGTGTAGTGAAATCATACCTGAGGATAAAGGATTCAATTTTTGTTTCAACGCATAGTTTCGATCAATCAAAATTGAAAACAATTCCAAAAGTTTTACAAAACATTTGAGAATTTGTTTCTCAAAAAATTCCGAAACATTAGCTTAAATATTGGAGACCAAAACAAAATGTAGTGTTGATCCACCTTTTTTCTGTGATTCATGGAATCACTAAACCAATGCAGTTGAGTGTGATGTCCACAAACTTAAAGAAAAGTTGTTCTTAGTCCTAACCGAAAGCAATGAACTTAAATAATCTGGAATTGTTGATATTTTAATTAAGGGAAAATTACACACAGTCCTGAGGTTTGTCACTTAATCACTCAGACCCCCTGATATTTAAAATATTACACACAGACCTCCTGAAGTTTGTACGCCCGCAACACTCAGACCTTGTTGTAAATATATCCGTTAATAAATAATACTTAAACCCCTCTGAAGTTTGTAGGTATACAATACTTAGACAGCTTAAATTTAAAATATTATACTTAGACTAAAAATACTTCAATCAAAAATTAAATATCAAATATTTTTAATTTTACTTAGATAAAATATCAAATATTATACTTAGACCAAATATGAATTTTACATTCAACATTCATATTCTATTATGTCATTTATTGAAATAAAATCAAAAATAAAAGTTTAGTTTAAAAAAAAAATCATAGTTAGTACATAATTATAATATCTATTAGAATAAAAAAACTGTAATAGATACAATTTCTTTTAGCTTTAATTGGGACAGTTTGGTATTTTAATTTGGTCGTTTAAACTACCAAATTAAATTTTAATATACAATATAATTGTATACTAATTACGACTTTTTAAGAAAAAAAATTAAATTTTTATTTTTGATGTTATTTCAACAAATGATATAATAGAACACGAATTTTGGTTATAAAATTTAAAATATGTGATATTTTATCTTTAATTGAAGTATTTTTGGTTTAAATATAATATTTTAAACTTAAGAGATCTAAGTATTATATTCTTACAAACTTTAAGGGATTTTAAGTGTAATTTATTAACTGATATATTTATATAAGTGTTACGCGTGTACAAACCTCAAGAGGTCTGTGTATAATATTTCAAATGTCAAGGAGTCTGACTGATTAAGTGATAAATCTCAGGAGATCTAGGTGTAATTTTGTCTTTAATTAATGTTGGAGCAATTTTATCTAATACACAAGACGAAGTTAGAATATATATTGTGTATGATGAAAAATTTTCGTACCTCAATAATGATGAAATCAACGGTGATTAATTTAGGAATTGAATGACTTCAATGAAACAAAACAAATTGGGTGAACCTTTCCTTACAAAACAAATAAACTATCCCAGATCGACGTTTAAGCAAACAATTTGTAAGAAAAAAAAGTGCATACCATACTCTTGAATCATTATTTATAAGAATGTGTCTCAACTCTTTGGGACTTAGAAATAATAGAATGGTACATGAGATATGATAATACACCCAAATCCCAATCAATCATTCGTTTTGGGGGTGTGTTGTTTTGCTGGATAAAGTGGGATAAAACAAATAGAATTGGTAAAATAATCTGAGGCCCACATATCCCTTATTTGGATCAACATTTGCTCATGGAATATTTGTTGGGCTTGACTTACACGGCTTGTATGAAATCCGCCTTTTATCCCGCCCGACCCAGACTCCATTATCCCACCTGAACTTTTGGATTAGTAAGCCCAACAATAGGATATAAGGTGAATTTACATAAATGCCCTCTAACAGTACAATAATCTAGGTTTTTTAGCCCGTTTTGTCTCCACTTCTTCAGGCTGTTCCCCTCCCACAGCAAACAGCACTCATTGGTTTGTGGTTGACGAAGGTATCTCTCTCTGTCTGCATTTCAATGTAGATATATACTGATGGGACTCTTCTGAAAAGCCCTAAGATGAAGACACGTGTCCTCGAGTTTTTGGAAACAGTGTTGCCCGGATATAGGCACCATCGGCGAAGAGCGTCCCTCTCCCCCGAGGTACCCCTTAAAAGATCACACATTCGGGGTGCATTATACAACACGTGTCCTCGGTCGCCGTGTAGCTCGGGAACATACCACCCTCGGTCCCCCGAGGCGAGCCTTTCCTCGGTGCCGAGGGTCACTCCATCCTGGACGCTTCCTCTACTCCCGGATAAAGCTACTGACGTACGGGGCATCAGCCTATGCCAGTCTAGACTATTCATCATGACCTCGTCTAACACAAGTAATGTCAGAACGTGCTGGAATACCGACGTCACAAGCTAATAGGGGATGGACGCGTGGCATATGATATCACATCAAGAACAGACAAATAGCATGCTGTTGCTGACACGCGCTTTGGGAAAGCAAAACAATTAATTGCACCCTTCTGTTGACGAGACCGCATTCAATGCGGTAAGGTTCGGATATGAAAGACAATAAATGCTCCTATTGCCGAGCATTTATTGCATCCTTCCCGAAAGGAGCATACTGTACCGTCGGCATCCCGACGACTCAGCATTGATTGCTCGGGACCCCGAGCAATCAATTAGAGAAGACATTCCTCATCAAATCAATACACACGCTACCTGTGCCTGATGATCACATACTGACCACACTGACAGCAATCATGAGCTTCTAAGGTATAAATACTCCTCCCAAAAAGGCAAAGCGGGTATGCAATCAAAAACTCTCGACTACAATACTGACTTTCTCAGTGTTTTCTTCTTCCTCTCTCTCTCATTCAAAGACTGACTAGACCGTCGGAGGGGATACGCCGGAAAACACTCCGGCACCCTTCTAACCTGTTCTTCTTTGTTCCAGGAAAACCTTTCACACGTACAGGATTGTTCTTCCTTTCCCGGGATCTTCTTTTGCCGTTCCAGGTTGCCACCGTACCTTGCAGGCCGTTTCAAGCAGCGTGTTTGGCCGCTCCACCGGCCCACTCAGTTCACCAGGGGAGAGATCTGTTCCCAATATTTTTTATATTGTGCAGGATCTTGCACGCACATATACATAGATATATATATTTCTATATATAGAAAAAAAAAAAAAGCTTCATTGCCACATTCTCCAGTTTGTTTCAAATGCCTTTGTCTCCACTGCTCTGATCAATTTCTTTATGAAATTTGAGTCAATGAATGATGCTCACAAATTGTTTGTTGAAATTCCTGAACCAACTGTAGTTTCTTAAAATTCTTTGATTTCTGGGTACGTGCATATTGGGTATTTCAGTAAGGCTTTAAGGTTGTTCCTTTAGCTGGAAAATTATGAGGTTCGTGTGGATTCGTTCTCATTCACGGCTGCCTGTGGCCAACTAAGTTTATCGTAATTAGGAAAGTCAATTTCACTCCCAGATTGTTAAATTTGGTGTGGAGTTTAGTACAGTAGTTTCAAATTGCTTGATTGACATGTATGGAAAATGTGGATCTGTATTGGAGGCCATTCGTGTGTTCTCCAGGATGATTGATAAGGATGTTATAACTTGGAACTCGGTGATCACGACAACTGCTAGAAACAGAAGACTTGAAGAAACATTCAGATTTTTCCATCAAATGCCAAACCAGGATACAATCTCATACAATAAGCTTATGAATAGCATTGCTCAGTTTGGCAACATAGAAGATTCCACCGAAATTTTGTTGAATATGTCAAACCTAAATTCATCCTCATGAAATTCGATAATAACAGGATTTGTAAACAGGGATCGAGCACTTAACATCGCGTAATAGTTGGAATTTTACGACACATAATCATTTTTATATTTTTCACAATATTAAAGTATTAATCAACAATTCTCAAGCCAAAAAAGAGATAGGATAAAATAGAATTCAAGGGTACAATAGTCAATTATTGTAAAAATTATTAGATGTTCAATAAAAATTTATTGTTTGTCCATATTTCAACTACATCATACATCATTATCCAAAGCAAGGATTGGATAACACAAATTACTTTTATCCTTCTACAAATCCGGCTCATTGGAATTTCACTGGACTGGTTTGGGATTTAAATCTAATCCAGTCCAGTCCATTCATAAATTGTCAAACACACTCTTAAGAGGTTGTTTGTTTTACCGGATAAAGTGGGATAAAACAAGTCGGATTGGATAAAATAATTTAGGAGCCCACATATCCCTTGTTTGGATTCACGTTTGCTCGTGGGATACTCATTGGGCTTGATTTACTCGGCCCGTAGAAAATCGGCCTTTTATCCCGTCTGACCCAGATTCGATTATGCCACCTAAACTTTAGGATTAGTAAGCCCAACAATAGGGTATAAGGTGAATTTATATAAATGCCCTCCATCAGTACAATAGTCTATGGTTTTTTATCCCATTTTGTCTCCACTTCTTCAGGTTGGTCCTCTCCCACAACAAACCGCGCTCATTGGTTTGTGGTTGTCGAAGGTATGTCTCTCTCTCTCTCTACATTTAATGTAGATATATACATGCATATATATTTCTATATATAGGGAAATAAAAAAAAAAAAGCTTCGTTGCCACATTCTCCAATTTGGGTTTGTTTCAAATGCCTTTGTCACCACTGCTCTGATCAATTTATTTATAAAATTTGAGTCAGTGAATGATGCTCACAAATTATTTGTTGAAATTCCTGAACCAGTGTATTGAAATTCTTTGATTTCTAGGTACGTGCATTCTGGGTATTTCAGTGAGGTTTTAAGGTTGTTCCTTCAGCTCAAAAGGTCTGTGGTTCGTGCGGATTCGTTCTCATTCACGACTGCTTTGGCTGCCTTTGGCCAACTAAGTTTATTGCAATTAGGAAAGTCATTTCACTCCCAAATTGTTAAATTTGGTGTGGAGTTTAGTATAGTAGTTTCAAATTGCTTGATTGACATGTGTGGAAAATGTGGATTTGTAGTGGAGGCCATTCGTGTGTTCTCTAAGATGATTGATAAGGATGTTATAACTTGGAACTCGGTGATCGTGGCAACTGCTAGCAACAGAAGACTTGAAGAAGCATTCAGATTTTTCCATCAAATGCCAAACCAGGATAGAATCTCATACAATGAGCTTTATGAATGGCATTGCACAGTTTGGCAACATAGAAGATGCCGTTGAAATTTTGTTGAATATGCCAAACCCAAATTCATCCTCATGGAATTCGATAATAACAGGATTTGTAAACAGGGATCGAGCACTAGACGCTGAAATTTTACAATAAACTTGTATTCTAAAATCATCGTGTAGTAGTTGAAATTGTGCAATACATAAGCATTCTTATATTTTTCACAATATTAAAGTGGTAGCTAACAATTTTCAAACCAAAAAAGAGCTAGAATTGAATAGGATTCAAGGGTAAATAGTCGATTAATGTCAAAGTTATTAGATGTTCAATAAAAAATTATAGTTTGTCTATATTTTAAGCACATCATACATCATTATCCAAAGCAGGGATTGGATAACACAAATTACTTTTATCCCTCTACAAATGCGGCTCATTGGGATTTCATTGGACTAATTTGAAATTTAAATCTAATCCAGTCTAGTCCATCCATGAATTGCCAAACACTCCCTAAGAGCTTTTCACATTTTACATCTTGAAAAATGTCTCAATTCCTATTTTGTATCTTAAAATATTATTCTTTTTACATTATACCCTGAAAGTAATAAATTGATTCTAATGTGGTATTTGGATTAACATCCGTTTTAAATTTTATTAAAATTTGATGCACATGTCATCTACGCGTGTTGCTCTTGGACAAAATTATAAACTTATCATTCATATTCTTGGGTGACATATGCATTTATTTTTAACGGAATCTAAAACGAATATTAGTTTGAGGGCTACATAGAATTAATATATGAAATTTAGGGTGCAAAGTAAAAAAAATAATCTTTCAAGGTATAAAAGGAAAATCGAGACATCNTACATAGAATTAATATATGAAATTTAGGGTGCAAAGTAAAAAAAATAATCTTTCAAGGTATAAAAGGAAAATCGAGACATCTTTTGGGATACAAAGTGAAAAAATCCCTTTATTTAATCGATGTTAGGAGACAAACTTCATACTAATACTACGTCGTTTAGTCATCACATTTTATGATGATTACTTTGATCACATGCCCATGAAAATCATTACCCGTGCGTGTTATAATAAAGCCCCATTTAATTAATTATTTCCTTAATTGCCCAAACGNAATAACAGGATTTGTAAACAGGGATCGAGCACTAGACGCTGAAATTTTACAATAACCTTGTATTCTAAAATCATCGTGTAGTAGTTGAAATTGTGCAATACATAAACATTCTTATATTTTTTACAATATTAAAGTGGTAACTAACAATTTTCAAGCCAAAAAAGAGTTGGGATTAAATAGGATTCAAGGGTAAAATAGTCGATTAATGTCAAAGTTATTAGATGCTCAATAAAAAATTGTAGTTTGTCCATATTTTAAGCACATCATACATCACTATCCAAAGCAGAGATTGGATAACACAAATTACTTTTATCTCTCTACAAATCCGGCTCATTGGAATTTCATTGGACTAATTTGGAATTTAAATCCAATCCAGTCTAGTCCATCCATGAATTGCCAAACACTCTCTAAGAGCTTTTCACATTTTACATCTTGAATAATGTCTCGATTCCTATTTTGTATCTTAAAATATGATTCTTTTTATANTAATGTCTCGATTCCTATTTTGTATCTTAAAATATGATTCTTTTTATATTATACCCTGAAAGTAATAAATTGATTCTAATGTGGTATTTGGATTAACATCCGTTTTAAATTTTATTAAAATTTGATGCACATGTCATCTACGTGTGTTGCTCTTGGACAAAATTATAAACTTATCATTCATATTCTTGGGTGACATATGCATTTATTTTTAACGGAATCTAAAACGAATATTAGTTTGAGGGCCACATAGAATTAATATATGAAATTTAGGGTGCAAAGTAAAAAAAATAATCTTTCAAAGTATAAAAGGAAAATCGAGACATCTTTTGGGATACAAAGTGAAAAAACCCCTTTATTTAATCGATGTTAGGAGGCAAACTTCATACTAATACTACGTCGTTTAGTCATCACATTTTATGATGATTACTTTGATCACATGCCCATGAAAATCATTACTCGTGCGTGTTATAATAAAGCCCCATTTAATTAATTATTTCCTTAATTGCCCAAACGTAGCCTCATACTCNCGTGCGTGTTATAATAAAGCCCCATTTAATTAATTATTTCCTTAATTGCCCAAACGTAGCCTCATACTCGGACAGAAGTCCACACATATTCCATGTAACTTCACACACTGTACCACCCCTCGTCGCCGTAAATTTAAGGAAATTCTCTCTCTTTCTTTCTCTCTCTTCGACCGCAAGATCGGTGGAATCCCACCAGCACTGGTTTTATCCAGAGAGTCGAGTTGGAGCAATGCAAGAGCTGAGAGCTTGAGAATCATTGTAGTTGGAGTCTCAGACGACGACGTGTTCTGATTGTGATTGAGGCCATGGCTGATTATTCGAAGGAAGAGTTTTTACAGTTGATCAAGCGATTTGGGGTTTATGTCACCGTCAAGATCTCCAATCTCTTACATGGCCTGGTTATAATCATAATTACTCATCTTTTCAAGTTCTGGTTTGCCATTTACTTACAAAATTGTATGTACCTATGCATAGGTATTAAGAACAGTATGTGTAGGTCTTAGGGTTTTTTTGGTTAAAATCGCTTTTTTCCGTCTTGTTTTTTTCTTCTTCATGTGCTTTGGGAAGGGATATATTGGGTGGGTTTGGTGGTGTATTTCGATGGTCTATCCTGTTATAGTAAATTCAATGAGTTGGATGATGAATTACAACTGTGAACTCGGTATCTCTGTTTTTAAAATAGCTGCTTTGCTGAAGGATAGGGTAATTGGTATCTTGAGTTGTATTGGGGGAAATAAAGATTTGTGGCAGTTTAAATTTGAGCATTGGTTGACCTGCCTAATTGATATTACCTTACACACAAGACAATGTTTTTTTACCCCTGCTCCCCTCATGGGTGGGGCGCTCGTGTTGATTTTTAGGTTTATCTATGCTACTAATAAAGGGAGAGGGTGGTTTGGTGTCCACTCGATAAATCTTGTTATACCCTTTTTGTACTTTATGTGTGCACGACCCTTAGTTTTCTGAAATGTGGGATGGGATGAGAAGAGGTTTTGGAAGGGAGAAAGTTATAATAGAAGAAACAAAATAGGTAGGTGAGGGTGCTTGGCAATTTACTGGCCTCCCGTGTTATGGACCAATGAGTACAACTTGCCTATGAATATTGGATTATAAGGGAAAGATTCTCAAGAGTTTATATACACATATCTAGTCTTTTTTTTAACCGATGTGATCGTAACGGTCCACCATGCATCCATAGCCGACATCCACAATCTACTCTAATGACATTGATCCAACGGTAGCTTTTTCTCTTTGGCGGTTACACTTACCTATCAGTATTCAATGAGATAACACTATACTCATACATAATATCGAGTTATCTTAATCTAGCCTATAGGTTGCCCCTTCTATGACTTGACTACAGAGAGCCACAGCTCACGCTGATCCCATACTTGACATGATGGTTAGATCTGATTCCAATTTTTATGAACTCATGACTAGAACTTGTCCTTAAAATTCGGCTTGCAAGGGAAGGGTGCCCAAGAGTTTATATACACACATTTAATTTTATTTTTAACCAATGTAAAATTCTAACATCTCTTGCACAAATGAAGAAAGAGAAAGCGAAAGGGACTACCAAACTTGTCTAACATAAGAGACATTTTTTGGGGGGGTGTGTGTGAGAGAGATATACATGTCTTCCAATTACATTTGTAATTTGGTCATCTTGAGCGGCATGATTAGGTTTTATTAAGGTTGTCAAAACAGGTAGCGAAATGGATACTGCTTTTTGACAGTAATGTATTGTGTTTCATGACATATGGTGTATTGTGAAATATGATCAATATTATAAAATATCTTACTAGATATACACATATAAATGTATCGGGACATATCAAATGTTCTATTTTTGACCCCTATTTCACGTNGAAATATGATCAATATTATAAAATATCTTACTAGATATACACATATAAATGTATCGGGACATATCAAATGTTCTATTTTTGACCCCTATTTCACGTTCACTTGAAGCTTTGGCAACCACCTTATTGTTGTGTTCATTCCCGTGATAGCTTGGCTAATGCTTTGGATATAATGCAAAAATTAAGTTAAATTGGCTCTCAATTGGTTCTTCAATATATCAGGTTTGGTTNGTTCACTTGAAGCTTTGGCAACCACCTTATTGTTGTGTTCATTCCCGTGATAGCTTCGCTAATGCTTTGGATATAATGCAAAAATTAAGTTAAATTGGCTCTCAATTGGTTCTTCAATATATCAGGTTTGGTTTATTGGCCATGTTGATTCTTATTTTTTTTTAAATGTGATACCATGAGATAGATTGCAAGGAGAAAGTGATAGAAGACACATGGGAAGATAGGACGCATCGTGATTTCCTTTCATTCACAAGATAGGGGAAGGAAGTAAGGAGAGTAGAGAAGAGAAGGAAAGAAGGGTGCAAATGTGACTTCCAGGCATCTCTAGCATAAGACAAAGAGATACACATATAACTATTATCACCAAAAGCACATCCTACCCTATAAATTATCAAACAACTCCCTTGAGCCTGGTTCTGACCCTTCATGAATAATAGTTTGCTACAGATCTTCCCTGTGGATTTAAGTGAAATAAGTTTTCTTCTTCTACTTTGACCCTCGGAGTAAAATAAATAAAGCACTGAACTTTTTTCTTTCCAAAGTAGGAAACAACATAGCATAAGTAAATTAGGAAATTTGAGCTATTCAGCTTAAATTTTGTCTTATGATCTCTCATTTATGGTTTTTGTGGTATGTCACTTTTAGTTGGAAAGCAAACTAAGCATCTGGTTCTGGTCAGTAACTCGTACTCACTGTTTTTCGGAGAGTCAGTAACTAGTACTCTTGACCAGAATGGACAATAAAGAGAAAACTTATGAAGTGCCTTTTATAGTATGATGTTTTCATGTCTTCAGATTTTGATGCAGGATTTACGATCTATTGGAGCTTTAGCAGGGCTTGCTGTTGCAATAGTTTTCACCTGGAGACTACTTAGATCACCAAGTGGACCTCAAAGAAGGCGGCCTAAAAGGCCAGCTGTGGCCCCTAGTAGTTCTGGCATGAGTACTCTTCCAAACACAAATGTGGTAGCTTCTAGAGTCTGCTCATCTTCAGAAGATTCAAGAGCAGAAAATGTGATTGATGAGTTTTTCCTGCCCGTAAAGGTAGTTGGCAATCACTATTTACCCTTCTATGAATCATATATTGAACCAGCTAGCATCTAAATTTTTCCCTCCCTGCCGCAGCCAACTCTGGGGCAAATAGTTAGGCAGAGGTTGAGTGAAGGAAGAAAGGTAATCTTTTCATTTGCTTGTGTGGTCTTTTTTGTGTATAACAGATTACAGATGTTGGTTTTTCTTAGTATCATTCTTTGTACTGCATATAATTAGGACATTTATGGATGCGAAACAATTTGCAATAGTACTAGGAAGTTGAGTTGTTTGAATTGAAAAAAATCTAATCTAGGAATTTGAAAGGAAACGCTACAGCTTTTCTTGGTGGTTCTAATTAATTCTCTGACTTGCTTCTTAATTGCATTGGGGGTTTTCATGCTCATTACTTTTTCTGTGTAGGTAACATGCCGATTAGTTGGTGTAATCCTTGAGGAAAGTACTCCAGAGGAGCTTCAGGTTGTGACTCGCTCTAAAGTCAACTTGGTGCCTGAACCAGCATTCTGAAAGTGATTGACATTGTGTTTTACCTTGTTCTTGACAGAAACAGGCAACTGTGAGATCATCCGTCCTGGAGGTGCTGCTTGAGATCACGAAATTTTGTGATTTATATCTACTCGAAAGAGTGCTGGATGATGAAAGCGAAGTGCGTGCAAACTTTTTTGCATATTCTGTTATTATGTGATTATTAATTTTAATTATTGCTTTTCTCTTGATTTATTGTGTTGTGGATCATGTACTTAAGATGCTTGAGCAAGGTGTTGCTGGCGGAAAGGGCCATTCCCATCTTTTTTCTTTGTCCCCCCTTCTGATGTGGACGTCATTTTGGGCCTTACACAAAGCACATTTTATGTTCTTAACCTATTTGCATTTTTGTCTCATGCAGTGTTATTAGGCTGTCTCTACTGATTTGATTTTGCAGTTTATTGAACTGTGGATCACAAAGATCTCTACTTTTTTATTCTTGGGTAGATTTGTGAAGCTTTAGTAAAAACATTCTTTACGCTGCTGAGTGGCCTTCTATTTTCTTTCTAATAGTATCTGCTGAGGACCGTATCATGATATTGTGTGATTGAATATCTTTTCTGGAGTTACTAGTAAAAAGTAAACTGTATTTGATTCGGGCAAAATATGGATTTTTGGATCAGAAATTACAGGAACTTTTTCTCGTGGAAGAATTAAGATATTTGGGCCTTTAAAGTACTTATTTATTGTAAAGGTTCCTCTTTAGTTCTGTCTGCTTGGACATTAATCCCTTCTTCAGGTTTCACTTGGCTTGTATATTTAAGTCATCTACAAGGATAAACATTCCTGTGTTGTCTTCAGCTTTTAGATTGTTTATAACAAATTTTGCTTATTTAGATGGATTGTTTAGCTCGTGAATTATATATTGACACCTATACTTTTCTTTCCCTTTACGAGCATGAATTTACNATAACAAATTTTGCTTATTTAGATGGATTGTTTAGCTCGTGAATTATATATTGACAAGCACCTATACTTTTCTTTCCCTTTACGAGCATGAATTTGCTGGTTTATAAATTTTCTACAACAGCATAAAACCATTAGTTACTACAACAGCATAACTTTTCTTTCCCTTTACGAGCATGAATTTGCTGGTTTATAAATTTTCTACAGCAGCATAAAACCATTAGTTACCTGGCAAAAGTTTGCTGGAGACTGCACCATTATGGTGTTTCCTTACAAGTTTATACTTGGTTGTTGCTATATATATAGAATAGTTTTTGCGGTGACCTATTTGATCAACAATTTGGTGCAGAAAAAGGTTCTCCTGGCTTTAGAAGATGCTGGGGTTTTTACGTCCAGTGGATTGGTCAAAGACAAGGTAATTACTGAATAAATGTGCACCCAAATTCTATTATTTCAAACACTATAAATATTATTGTTCTTGCCTGTTTAAAAGGCTGGAGACATTAACCTACCTAAGATAATTTGTTCAATCATATCCTTTGTGAACAGGGTAATGGCATATAAAAATTTATCATCTGTTGGTGAAATTCAGAATTAATATGTTTGATCCTTTATTTTTGTAGTTACTAGTTTTCCTTTCAAAAGGGAGCTAAGCTCTCTCTCCAGTTGCCCCCCCCCCCAAGGGGTGGGGGTTGATGCAGTCACCAAGGCAATTGTGAAAATTGGTTATGAATTGAATAAGCATTATTCGATGGCCTGGGTTTAAAAGTGGAATTGCTTGCTTTTAGATTAACCCACCTGAATGTTGGACCGTCTAACATGTAGAAAGGCACCTTAGACCATTACAGATCTGATTTGTAAGGATCCCTTCTTTACATGATTTTTCATTATACATATACATATAGGATTTATGAAGCAACTAAGACTGCAGTGTGGTAGAATTGTTGCTATTTTTCTATAACCCTTTGACATCTCAGTTGTCTTTTGATTTCTTATTTTCAAGTCAATATCCTTCGTTGGCCTTCGATACTTCACTTAGGAAAAGAGGTTGATATCTATAGCAATCTTGCTTGGTATTCTCCACAGTGTCAGTCCTGTGATTACTTTGAGGGTATTAGATCCACATGATATGTTCGGAGGCCAAGTGTATACTGCCATTAAAATCCATAAATGCAGAAGGCACCATAGTTGCTTCCGGGTGGCCCTTGCCTCCTGATCACCATATATGCAATATTTGCCAATATTGGGAAAGTAAACATGGGAAAAAAATTTATTGATTTGTGGGTTTAGTTTTGAACAATTGGATCAATGTGATTCCACCCCAAGCCCCTTCTTTTGAAAAAAGAAAAGAAAATGAAGACAGAAAAACCTTGACACTGCTAGTGATTTTGCACGTTAACCGAAAGATTCTACNTTGAAAAAAGAAAAGAAAATGAAGACAGAAAAACCTTGACACTGCTAGTGATTTTGTACGTTAACTGAAAGATTCTGCCCATCGTTGTCTACATGTCTGATTTGTTTTTTTATTTCATTTCAAACCCACCAGCTATCACTTATTTTGATTGAAATGCATCTGTAGGTTCTCTTTTGTAGCACAGAGAATGGGCGTACATCTTTTGTTCGGCAACTGGAGCCAGATTGGCATATAGACACAAACCCTGAAATTGTCACTCAATTGGCGGTATTACTTATAATAACCTTTGCTTTCCGACATTGTTGGCTAAAGTCCTATGCTATCTAAATTGTTGAATTAACTTGACAGTAATTTGAATAATATGGGAATATTAACAACTAATTTCATCTCAAGTAATGTCTGTTTCCATAAGAAACTGAGTTTTAAATACTTATACGTTGCATTGGGAATTGAGGATCTGGATATGGATATTTTCAGTTTTCGGCCCAAATCATGTTTCAGTAAATTCGTCAGTGGGTTTGAAATTCAGTCCAACTATGTCCGTTCATTTGGCAACCCTAAAACTATTAATTGAAAGAAGGTCCAGCAGATGTATTTCAATCCCTTGCCGCTTTGGCATTTGATTTACGATGTGAACATAACATGATGATATTTTATTTCCAAGACTCAGGGCCACATGTGGACAGACCCTCACAGATTTGTTTGTTGGTAACTTGGTATATGTTGCCATATACGAGCATATAGATTTGTGCTTGTTTCTTTTTTCCACTAAAAACACCCATGTATACCTATATATATCATGTCTTTTTTGGTTCATAAATTTCAAGCCATTAGCACATCTATCTTTTTAGATTTCAATCCTAGGATTTAATATTCTTCCTCAAATCAAAATCCAGGTTTGTCAAACGCAACATTTGTTTACTATAATAGGAAGTAATTTGTTAGATAGGCTCCTTTGGATAAAATACGGCCTTAACCTGTCACATACTCATATTAGTGCTTGTACATTTATTGCCACTCTGCAAGGTGCCCTGGCCCATTTTTTCTTCTATAAATTGCTGCTCTGGCTTCCTTTCTCGCTCTGCCATGTTCCACCGTGGAGTACGTCATAGTGGCGTATTCTGTTGTGCTTTGACTACCTATAATCTGTTAATNAATTTGTTAGATAAGCTCCTTTGGATAAAATACGGCCTTAACCTGTCACATACTCATATTAGTGCTTGTACATTTATTGCCACTCTGCAAGGTGCCCTGGCCCAGTTTTTCTTCTATAAATTGCTGCTCTGGCTTCCTTTCTCGCTCTATGCCATGTTCCACCGTGGAGTGCGTCATACTGGCGTATTCTGTTGTGCTTTGACTACCTATAATCTGTTAATTTTTTTTTATAATTTGTGTTCATGATATTCTCATGGTTATATATCTTACTTCACTGGTGTGGACCATCGAAGTTTTTTATTATTTTGCTTATTTTCTAACAATGGTTTCAGAGGTTCATCAAATACCAGCTCCACATATCGCCAGTAAAACCCGAGCGAACTGCTTCCAATGTTTTCAGCTCTCCATCCTTAGAACAATTCTTTGGGAGTCTTTGATGCACAAACTAGTAGAAGATACAATTCAGTTTTCACTTAATTCTTATTTCCTTCTTTTCTTCCTTCTGGGATCAATATGGATCATACGATCATGTCTGGCNTTGATGCACAAACTAGTAGAAGATACAATTCAGTTTTCACTTAATTCTTATTTCCTCCTTTTCTTCCTTCTGGGATCAATATGGATCATACGATCATGTCTGACTGTTCAGATCAGAGACTCTGTATTACTCCACTATTTCAAGTAAAGAAGCTCTCTCTGTTTAATCTGTGTAATATTTTCATTTCAGTCGATGATATACAATGTAGTACCAACAGTTTTTACTAGTTTCTGAGCTCAGGCCCTTGCTGTATTGCCTAAAAATTCTCAAGATATATGACTTTAGCAGAGTGTTGGACTTCATCTTGGTTTATGCATTGTATTTTAGTTTCATTTTGTGAAGACATTGATGTTGTCTGGATTATTGTATTTCCCTTTGGTCAGCTGGGTGTGTTAACTGTTCTTTAACTTGTCCAGCCTGCCTTTTCTGATGCTGAAATGTGCTCCTCATTGTCAGAGAAGTCTTTTTAGGAAAAGTCTACCCTACCAAAAAAAAAATTTGATACCGGACTATCGATTACCACTTTTTATGATAAAGTTAAAACTTTAAAAAGAGAAGGTACAACTGTTTAAAGGAAGACTATAATTAATTATGGTCTTTAAAAATATAACTTAAAAAAATTTTAAATTTAACCTAAAAAAATTATAATTTTCGGTATGGTATCTCTGGTGGCATCATAGTCTTTCCTGTCTCTTTATAATCCCTACCTCTGTTCTTGAGTACTTTTTTTTCCCCAAATACCTTGATTTTTCATCATTGCAACCTTATTTCTTAAATTTTGGTTATTTCGACTAAAGGGTAATTTAAACATAATTTCCAATGCAAAGACCTGTTTACAAGACTGGGTTTGCCTCTTGTATTGTTAGACCTAATAAAGCTCTTGTGCTCCCTTTGTCTACTTCTCTCTGTAATTTTTTCCTTTCTGAAAGTAGAGATTAGAGAGACCTTGACATTTTTGTATATGGATTTTTTGATAATTCATGGACCAAGATGACATGGTCGATGAAATTCGTAGTTTTCGTACAAATGCATTGATGTGCCATTGACATTTGATAACTCTTCAAGGTGTAGCCTTTCAATGGGTGCTTTGATTGGCCTATTAATGTATCTGATTTTAATCAAAGTGTAAATTAAGTTCCTTGAATTGGTAATTTTTCATTGAAAATTTAAATTTGAACTCAAATGTAGTCGCATCATATTTCATGGGTCAATTTTAGATATACTAGTTTACACGTGGACTAATATATAAATGAACATGAAATGAAGTGATTTTCACGTAAATAGAAGTATCACTTCAATCTATTTGTCCAACGAACCAAAAATTATGTTGTATACTTTTCAAATACAGATTGTCTTAATGTCGAAATGTAACAACATTAATTCTAAAAAATAATTGATGCAGAATGATAATGAGTCTGGGTTCATAGGTAAACTGGTGACTATTCTAGACAGACACCGTGAGAAAAGACATAACTCAGAAGACCCACATTTAGCCAAAAAAAACTAACGTGTAATTATTCTCAATGAACAGACACTTTTTAATAGTTTTAGATATCAATTATGAAAATAAAGTCTCTCACGAATTAGACTCTCACCCAAGTTTTTCAATCAAATTGGTTGAAATTTGAGCTATTGACAATCCTATATTTAANACTCTCACCCAAGTTTTCCAATCAAATTGGTTGAAATTCGAGCTATTGACAATCCTATATCTAGGATACTTTAATATCCTCTCCTTAAATAATTTGTCATCACCATTATTAGATAGTTTTACTAACGCTTAATCAATGATGATAATTTGAATTTATTTTCTAGACAGCTACCTAATACTGATAATTCGTCTAACAATTAGTCTAATGGCCATAGTTTTTATTGTTGAACCTTAAGGTAACAAGTTCAAATCTTGTCGTTGTTTTTTCATGCGCCAGACAAAAATAAATGGGCAAAATAAATAAACAAATAAAAGTAAGGCCTACCTACTAATATTATTAAACCACAACACTACATTTTGGGCGCCGTCACATAACAGAACATATGTAGTGACACATTCGGAGGCACAGAAGCTACCTCGGATTACTTTGCAACACTCAGAGAATATTAAAACAAGCTTCGTTAGAATGGAGACCATTTGCCCAATCGATTCCCAGTTCAAAGACCAAATCTCTGCTTTTCTTAAGCCTCCTTCACTTCTTGAAGTTCAGGCAAACTCTCTGTGTCTCTCATACATTAATGGGCTGGTATATAGAACTTCTGTTAACGTTGTTTTTTGTTTTGTACAATTCAGGATTATTTTGACCAGCTTATAGCAAGTAAGCAAATTCGTGGCCTCAAAGTAAAACCAAATGGCGAGTACGGAAAGGGTATGCTTTTCTGGATTGCAGCTGAAACATAGTACATTCGCTCATTTTAATGTTGGCACTTAGCTTCTTAAGTTGGTTTTCAACTGTTGAGATCGAACCCATATGAAAGTTTTATCAAGAACCTGTTTTAAATCGGCCTAAAGAAATCTACACGTGTTTTTAAGGGTACGCCCTGTTGATTTTTTGTTGCTCACAAGTTGTTTGACTTGTTTCCTCAAAGAACTGGCCATTCTCATTTCAAATTTGTAAGAAGCTATCTTTTGTACTTTGATGTAGATTTGTAACTCTGTGTACTGATTAGTTGACTGGTGATTTTGTTGATAAAACAATTTCATTGTTAAATTTTGGTTACAAAATGTTGATCTAGTAACAGAGTAAAGAAGCAATGTAGTCATAAGCAAGAACAAGTGACAAAAGACTGCGGTGCTATATTATATGTATTGGTTTCCATAGAAATCTTATTCAGTCCTTTGGATTGAGTGTGCATGACTCGATGAATGGTGATGTTCAGGTATTTATGCAGAAGAGGGATTTGAAGAAGGGGGCCTTGTTTTGAAGGACCAAATGCTTGTTGGTGCTCAACATTCTTCCAATAAGGTATTGCAAACTGAAAGTTTATTGCTTTTTCTTTTTTCTTTCAAACCATTTACTCACTCATTTTTTCAAAGTTTCCACCTATGGTTTGCATGTTTACTTTTTATGTTATTTCATTTTGCAGATTGACTGTTTAGTGTGTAGTTTCTGTTTTCGTTTTATTGGTTCAATAGAGCTTCAAATTGGAAGGAATCTCTATTTGCACGATTTAGGTGTATCAATGAATAATGAATGTACCTGGCAAACATCTTCCCAAATTCTGAAAGATTGTTATCAAAGTCATTCATCTGGTGGGGAAGACTATTCTGATGTTGAGGATCCCCAAAATTTTGGAGAATGTGCTTCTAGCAGCTCCAAAAATAAAATTTCTCTCCCTAAAGAGGTTGTAGAATCTTTAATGAATGGTGAATTGGTATTGCCATATTCAAAAGAATTTCCACTACCTCCAGTTGTTTCTTGTCCTGGAGGATGTAGAGAAGCTTACTACTGCAGGTAAGCATATAGACGTCTTCCCTTGTTCTTTTTTGCAGTCAATAATATCTGCCCTTGTTTCAGAACAAAGTTTCCTTGTAAATCAGGATTCAACTAACACAATTATCTGTGGTGTACTAGCGGTTGTTGCTCTGCAACGTTAGACACCAAAAATATGAGCTATATGTGGTGTGCTTNAACAAAGTTTCCTTGTAAATCAGGATTCAACTAACACAATTATCTGTGGTGTACTAACGGTTGTTGCTCTGCAACGTTAGACACCAAAAATATGAGCTATATGTGGTGTGCTTATCGAATTTGACTCTACATTTTCTTTTGTTATTTTGTCCTAGGGTTTATTACACCATTTATTACCTAGTCCATGCAAATTAATGATATTCCTTGGCTGCTTTTCACTAATATCTCTGTTATATTGATCTTGCTTCCTAATTGAACCTTTAAAGTGGCTATTAAAGGGTTACATTGGTGGTTTGTAACTAAGTATACTCTTCTTTTTGTAAGTATCTAACCTAGTTGGACCGTCATTAAGTACACATTTTCAGATTGAACGGGCCCAAAACTTTATAGTAACTAAATATTAAGAAGGATTGGTATGTAATTATGGTTAAGCCACTGCTTGTCAAAGATGCAGGCAGGACGAGGTTTTCAACATGGAAAATCAGCTTAAATATGAGTATCAGATCCGAAAGATCTAGCAAACCTGCTCTATGCTTTATGAATGTATTAAGTTGTAGTTTCCCTATCTTTCTTGTATCTGTAGAATTTGTGCTATTTCTCATTAAAATCTGAACATTACCCATAGATTGAGTCACTTGTTATAATGTTGCAAATTTTGTAGCCAATCATGTGCAGAGGCAGATTGGGATTTACACCATTCTTTACTTTGTGGTGGTGAGACGTCAAAAACTTTATGTGAGGCACTTTCAAAATTCACACAACATGCCAATGGTGAGGCTAACAACATAAACTGGTGCACTGAAGTATTATTTAAGACGTGTTTTTTAGTTCATTCCCCACCTTGCTTTTCATTCATTATGCTTCTCTTTTTTCCTTCTTTCAGAGACAAATGATATTTTCCTCCTTGCTGCAAAGGTATATTTTGTTTTGTTAACCATTGTTGAATTTTACTTTTCCGTTTTTGTTTTATTAGCTTTTCCATGTCAAGCAAAAGTATGTATAGATATGCAAGTCCACTTAAAATTAGATGTACATTTTTTGGGGAAAGGATACATAAGTATATTCTATACCCATTTATGATTGGAGTCACCACAAATTGATATTCAGTACTAAGGAGCTACTATTTTTCGGTCTCGATTTCACCTTTAATCAACTCTGTAAAGGCTTTTTCAAACTACAACACAGCCGTACTTCCCCATGTATGTGGCCGCTTAAGATCGGGAGGCAAGAGGGAGGGAAATGATATCCCAGCCTTTTGTCAGCAGCATTCCTATTGAAAACAATTGCCTTGCAAGACTTGAATCGTCAGGCCTATAGTTACTCTTTCGCTGCAGTAGCCATCCTATCCTACTCGTTAAAAAGAAAAATATAAAAATCAATATGATACATGATCTGCACTGGAAATCTTTTTCGTGTTCGTGTCCTTCGAACAGAAAAACCAAATGCATACCGTAGCTTCCTCATTTCCCTTTTTGCAACCTGACGCATCCTCTGCTTGTCAACTATGGTCATAATAAATTCTCATAGTATAGTCCAATCTTTGGGCATGTAGGTATGTTGAAACTCAATTTGTCATTTCTCTTTCTATCTAGTTAATAACAAGACCTGGACTTGTATGCATGTTATAAGGCAAAATTGATTTGGTCTCAAAGGTCTTGTGTAGTAGAAGTCCTCTTTATATGCATGACATGAAAATGCTCCTGTTTGAACAGATTCATTTGGCTTCCTTCAACAGGTGATTTCCTTCACCATTTTGAAATACAGGAAGCTGAAAGTTGCTCATCAGAAGTCTGCTACTTCTGATGCTTCGAACTGTGATCTTCCTCTTCTTTTGGAGGCATGGAAGCCTATATCAATGGGATACAAAAGAAGGTTGTTTCAACTTATTGTTCCACATTTCTTTATTGCGCACATGATACAATTTTTCTATCGATGTCCTGTTACAGCACAGCATTTGATATTCACTACGTTCATGAGAAGTTGGACATGGTACACACATACCTTTGTGAACAACATTCGAATGTCAAAAATATCACTCTTTTGGAACTAAAAGTGAATAACATCTGACATATAATGTTGTTTCAGATGTGCAATGGGTTGCTCTATTGTATAGCTTGTACTGGTAGATACTCCATATGTCACAATGTCTGACAATTGACTTGAGAAGCTTTGGAGTTTTTGATGAACATTGCAACCCCTATTTTCTCACACTTCTCACCTTCCATCATTTTTCTTCTTTGGAGAGATGGCTTTGCTTCTATTGACATGACATTAGTTGATCTTTGTGTGATTGTGAAAAGTGGGCCAAAATGTAGTATTGGATGCTTATTTTTTTTATATTGCCATAGAAGATTGCAATAAAAATTCTAAAAAATTGAGATATTGATCCTTTGCATGTTCGTATAGAAATTGTCTATGGATTGGAGTCATGTCGACAATTTTCATGTTCGTTCATTTAGTGTTTAATAACATATTCCACAATTGTAAACTAACCTTTAACATTTGTCATCACTTTTCATAAAATAATCCAAATACTTATGTGGCTTTGCTTGTATCTTTCCCATACTCGTTCTTGATTGTAAATATCCACAATTCAGTAGATCTCTCTCTCTCTCTCCTTTTTTCATTTGTAGTTTGCATTATATTATTATGTGCTGCTCCGAATCTATAATATTGACTTCCCAAAATTTCTACTCGAAGGTTGCAATATTCATACAACAACCTCACAGTGGTTACACTTCTATATACATATTAAATTTGTTTTCTCAGGCTGTTATATTAGCCTTCAAATTTTTTTGTGGGGAAGATATTTGTTATTTTAGGATATGATGTACTGATGATATTGGTTTAGATCTTCTACTCAGAAACTGCTAGATGCTTCCAATTTAGGAGCATGGCAAAACGAACTATAGTTAGATGTAATCAGCTTATATTTATCCTAAGTCAGTTAACCTAGCAACTGGAAGGGTTAAAACTTTCTTATGCAGTGTTGTTTTNTTTGTTATTTTAGGATATGATGTACTGATGATATTGGTTTAGATCTTCTACTCAGACACTGCTAGATGCTTCCAATTTAGGAGCATGGCAAAACGAACTATAGTTAGATGTAATTAGCTTATATTTATCCTAAGTCAGTTAACCTAGCAACTGGAAGGGTTAAAACTTTCTTATGCAGTGTTGTTTTGCCTCTCAATAAACTTTCTATAGCCTAAGGTAACAGCAAATTGAAGTTGAAATCAAGAAAATAAAGCAAACTATAGCCTAAGGTAAAAGCAGCTAAATGAATCACTTCCTACTAAATCAGCTAAACCAACAATCTCCTACTACAATAACATAATACACCATGGTAAAAAGAGGAACCTGCATAGAACCAAAGAACAGATTACACCATTCGCACAAAAATGACATAATAGTAGTTGTTATGTATAACAACTAGAGCAGGCGTTGTCGGCCTTCCCTCCTTTAAATTCCTTGAAGTTGGCAATTGCCGCTTCTTTTGTTCTCTTCTTTTGTATTGGACTTTTCCTCATGGCTTTCATCCTTTTATTTCCTACTACAATGTTGATTTTTCCTATACTAGTTATGATGGGGCGACCCTGCCACATGGCTGTACTTTATGCAGTTTGAGAAATAAAATTTGTCTTCGTTGCTTTTGAATTTTTTGTTTTTCATGAGATAATTATTGATACCTCGTGAAAATGTTGGCTTGCCTACAAAATCTAAGTTGTGTCAATAAATTCGCATGACAATTTTTCCAAGTCTACAATTACTATTCTTCCTTGACATAATATGCAGTTACATGGTGTCTAAAATACATTACCTGTTTTGTACAAGTTGTATTAGATTGCTAATTTTGATATACTATGGCACTTTTTGTCTTTAGGTGGTGGGATTGCATTGCTTTGCCTGACGATGTTGATGCTTGCGCCGAAACTGCATTTAGAATGCAAATAAGGGAGCTGGCATTCACGGTAAAATGCATGTAGTCGAACTAAAGATAGTCTCATTCTGACAGGTGTTACTACTATTTTCCTTCTCATTTCTTAATCTTAAATAATAATCATTTGGTTTTTAATTTCCAGTCACTGCAACTCCTAAAGGCAGCCATGTTCGACAAGGAATGCGAGCTATGTATCCTTACAGTTGCTGAATCAATTGGCAGTCCGTTTTTGGGAGCACTACACTCCATATATTTTCTGGTCCATGAATTAAAATCCTTAACTGTTTCAAGTGTTTTCCCTGGAAATCTATGGGCATATTATCGGCATGTTTGAGCTGAACAACCTGTAAGTGCGCCATTCATTCAGCTTTCTGCCCCTTTCCCACACAAATTAAATTGCAATATGTTCGAATGGTATTGGCTAACATTTGAAGCAATCCTATAACATGCTTTCTAAGTTGCATCTGGTGGTGCATACCATATTTTTAGACTTTGTTGATGTTTTCATACAGTAAAATGAATGTTTTATGTGATAGTGATTTGGTTGTAGCATCTCCAGTGGAGGACTATTTCTTGTACATTGATGACCTTCCACACTCTGAAAAGGTCAGAAAGCACCACCTTGATATTTTCATCCTTTTTAGTGCATAGAAAGCTGATTCTTTTCTCTGTAGAAAAAAGCTGAGGAAATGACACGACATCTTCTGGATGCTCTTGGTGATGATTACTCTGTTTGTTGTCAAGGTATGTTTTAATATCAGATAGAAAGGCTTTGCGTATTGCTGAAAAATTCATAAAATCCTCGCTTTTGTAAGCTTACAAATATGTAATTCATACAATCCTTATTTTTGCAAGCTTACAATACATTCTTTTTATTTAATGGTCTGAATGCCTTAATGGTTGTGAGGGTAGGCACACTTTGATGGTCCATGTCATTNTTGCCTCTCAATAAACTTTCTATAGCCTAAGGTAACAGCAAATTGAAGTTGAAATCAAGAAAATAAAGCAAACTATAGCCTAAGGTAAAAGCAGCTAAATGAATCACTTCCTACTAAATCAGCTAAACCAACAATCTCCTACTACAATAACATAATACACCATGGTAAAAAGAGGAACCTGCATAGAACCAAAGAACAGATTACACCATTCGCACAAAAATGACATAATAGTAGTTGTTATGTATAACAACTAGAGCAGGCGTTGTCGGCCTTCCCTCCTTTAAATTCCTTGAAGTTGGCAATTGCCGCTTCTTTTGTTCTCTTCTTTTGTATTGGACTTTTCCTCATGGCTTTCANTGGTTGTGAGGGTAGGCACACTTTGATGGTCCATGTCATTGTACCTTCTCTTCTTATAAAATGCAATACATTCTTTTTAGTCACTTTTTTTTTTGAAGGTTGTGCTATCCTAGGCAATGTCAGGCTATTGTTTATTTCATTTTGCATTATTGGGAAGAGTGCCGTGCAGTCGCNCTTTTTTTTTTTTGAAGGTTGTGCTATCTTAGGCAATGTCAGGCTATTGTTTATTTCATTTTGCATTATTGGGAAGAGTGCCATGCAGGCACNTCTTTTTAGTCACTTTTTTTTTTGAAGGTTGTGCTATCCTAGGCAATGTCAGGCTATTGTTTATTTCATTTTGCATTATTGGGAAGAGTGCCGTGCAGTCGCAGTAGGCTTATCCTCTTGATGAACTTGTTAGGCATATTCTAGATACATCCTTGTGTTTACGTTTGAACACTCTAGGATCTACAGATTTCTACATATTTTAAATTACAAAGGTAAGACAGAATAAAAGAGATCCAGTTAATAAGGTAGGAGTAGGAACAAGGAATTGATAGCAAGGAGGCACCTAAATTGAGTGTTTTCTTTGACATGGATGTTCTAGTTTTTCATTTGTCTTTTTTCATCTTCTTTATTCTTTAGTGTTTCTTTGTTCGTGTATTTAAGGGCAATCAAATCTACTATGTACAATTAGAAGAAATGTTAAATCCGGAAATAATTCTCTCCTATGTGGCAGTAACATGGCACCTTATATGCTCTTGATTCCTGTTTAAAATGACACATATGCGGAACCTTGATAAAACTCAACCTTTCTNTTTGTTCGTGTATTTAAGGGCAATCAAATCTACTATGTACAATTAGAAGAAATGTTAAATCCGGAAATAATTCTCTCCTATGTGGCAGTAACATAGCACCTTATATGCTCTTGATTCCTGTTTAAAATGACACATATGCGGAACCTTGATAAAACTCAACCTTTTCTCCTGTCCTCCCCCATTCTGTAATTCTTAAGTCTGCTTTTTCTAAGATAAAAATATATTGATCCCTCATGTTTTCTCTCTCAATGTATAAATAATCAAAGAATAAACAACTCTGATATCTCATTACCTAAACTTGACTAGAATAAACAGGAGTTCTCTCTTACATAAGTTGATCAACTTGGTTTTTTTTCTCTTTCTATGTGTATTTAAAGGTCATCTAAGGGGTAGCAATTAAAGTACTGTCCAAATAGAAGTAAAACTTCCGATTTAGAGGATTAGGTGTAAAGCACAACATAGCACAGTAAGGGTTATGAGAAAGGGTTGGGCGTTATATGGGGGATGGGGGAGGATGTAGCAGGTGGTTGTTTCGTTTGATGGAATCTACGGTCAGAGGCCTAGCTGGGAGGAGTAAAGCGGGTTTGGTGGTTGAGATGGTGGCTCTTTGAGGAGCAGATATGTATTTATTTCTGTGTGATAACAGCTATATCGGGAATGCATGAATGGAAATTTTTGCAGTTTTGGAAGATGACACTTTTCGGGAATGCCAAGAAATAGTACAGAAATGGCACTGATACATGCACTTAGTACCCCAATTCTTGTATGTCCTTGTGGCTGGTGCAGACAATTGCTTAGTTGTACACCACATGGGTTTCTTTGCAGGTGTACGTCGTATACATACTGCCGTAGTATGTGTGTATCTATCTGTCACTCCATCGATCATAAGCACTGTGTACTCATATGTCCATTGGGTGGCTTCAATGGGATGTGAAGGTTTTTTTGTCCAGTAATATTAGTTTCTGATGTTTCTGATATGGTAACCATTTTGGTAACTAAATAGGTAGGATTGTTTCTTATGGGTTTGCTGCATTTAGTGAATTTATATTTCATCTTCATGCTACTGAGTTATATAATGTGCCTCTTCAAAGTTCTCGTAGTTTCCTTCTACTTGATGCACGGATGTCTTACTAATTTATATAAAAAAGGCGTCCCAATGCACGAGGCCCTGCTGATGCGGGGTCTGGGATGTCTTATTAATTTCTGCTATCATTAATTGCTTGCAATTGGTATTCTCTTCTTTTTCATTTTCATTTGCCTGGTGTTATGCCTTCATTGTGCTAATATTACATCTTTTGTGTTTTATGTTTTTCCTATCATAGGGTTTTGAGAATGAACAAATATGTCGATTGAGCTTCACTAACTAATGTTTTGAATTCTGTAATAGGTACTGCATTTTTTCCTTTGCAGAGTTGCATGAACCATTCCTGTCTTCCAAATGCAAAAGCTTTTAAGAGAGAAGAGGTGAGTTTTCATCCCAAATGAAGGTTTTTAGCTTTTATTTCTTTTGTCTTCACATGAAAGTTTTGATGTTTTGTTTTGCACACCAAAGGGACGTGTCCTGCCATGTGTCCAACTACTTTGGATTGTGGGTTTTTGGCCCAATCTATAGTGATCAAACATTTTGGTCCAAAAAGAACGGAGAAAGAATTGAGTCCACAATTTTTTAATTAGTTGTGTTTGCAGATTACTTTTCCTGCTCCTTCCTTCATGGAAGGCACAAGGTTAAAGTTGAAATAGAGGGCTTGAGTGCAATAGGTTTGTGCTTATCGTTGGAGGCTACTCCTGTTTTGTAGCCCATGCCATTGGGGTGGAAGAAAACATAAAGCATAAAAAAGGCCTAAACTTAGAAATATGCCAGATACTGTCTTTACGTGCACACTACACACCAATATCTATAGAGCTTCTTGTAGCCTTTTGCCTAGAATTTGAAGTGGAAGCCACCCTTTTCCTAGAATTCGAGACAGATCCATTCTTGTGGTAAAGGGAATCAGTGATCTCTGTGATAAAAATGAAAGTTATGCTTTAATATAAATGCCCCTGAGCACCATTCGGAAGGTTTGGAACCTGAGAAACATAGAATTATACGGATTTTTCAAATCTAAGCACATTTCAGTGATTTCCATGTTGTTCAGATGATTAGTTGTACAGGAACTTCATTGAGGTATGGTACTTAGCACCATGGTGGTAAAAAATAGGCATGTTAAATTGGCTTAACTGAGGTGCTTTCCCTCATGGCTGGTTGATTGGACTTATCCTAGTTGTCAACCTACTTAAGTTTTCCAGGAACCATGGCTCATTGTTATCTGTTCAACTTTTAGTCTTGAGCTTAAAAACTGTTTAAGCAATGGAGCTGAATCCCAAGTTCCCAATACTGGATTATCTACACGCTTCTTGTTAAAGATGTTGGTTATTATATACTGTGGGCTCTAGATGGAGTTTTTCCAGAGAAGGTGAGTCAGATAAGGTGGTGGGTCTAGGAAGCAGCAAGCTTTTTTGGTTAAGAAAGCAGCAACCTGATATGAAAGATGACAGTAAAAAAAGGGAATACCAAGGTGATTGTGGCTTCAGAGACCTGTGTGAGGATTGTAGGTTTTTTTTTTTTGTCTCTAGTAATTAGACCTTAAGGGAGATGAGGGTGCAAATACCTTTTATGTGTAGTTTGCTATTTGTTTCTATGTGTTTGGCTACCCATTCTAAGCTCCCAGACTCTCTTTAATGGGGGACTAAGCTGGGTGTTCTTTATCTGCGTGTGTGTGTGTGTGTTAGGTTAGGGGTTTTGTTTGGGGGGGGGGGGATATGTGTTCCCTTGAATGAGGTTTGAGGAGTCCTTGTATAGAATTTTGCCAGATGCCAACATGCCTACTTAAATAACCGATTCTGCATGCTCTCAATCATGAAATATTGGTGTTGTGATGCCTAATGTCAGAACATTTTTGGATGTATCAGTTGCAGAATAGAGTCCACGTGATAACTCATCTGCTAATTGACATTGTGACAATTATATACCTTTGACAGCAGCAACTCCTTTACGTGGGAGAAGGTTGAGCACCAAATTTCAGCAGCTTGGGCATTCGCTGGCCTCTGTCCCCACTCCAGCTATAAAGTTAATTGAGTCACCCCAGTTGCATGATGGAGCATCAGGGGGTCACTAGGGAATGCATGCATTTCTCCAATTGTATGTTATTCCTGCGGGTAGTCCATGTGGTGCATCCATAATTGGTGACATGGCTGGTACAGGGATGCTGTCTGAAAAGGCTGCATTTTTCTCACATTGATTGAAATTAATGCAGATTCTAACTGAAACCAATTCCACCTGATCGACATTTCCTTAACTTTTCCAGTATGATTAGTAAATGTTTAAGCTTAGGTTGAGCAACCACCTGTTCAATCAAAGAGTTCTTCTAGTTTATAGAGGACCTTAGTCTTAGACTCAGGTCAGAGTCACCGGCAAACTAACAGAAACCAAACACAAAAGAACTTGTATTCAAAATCTAGTTGGTACGGAACATTGGCTTCTGCACAATGAAAAAATGCATATTGGAGATCAGCGATATTTTACACGGTAGTTGACATGAATCATTTTTATTTCCCAGTATATATATTGAGATACTCTCCTCGTTTAAGTAGAGTGTGGTCTGCTGTCCCATGTCATACAGGGAAAAGAGAAGGTGAGTTTCTTTTCCATTATCAATATGTAATGTTATTTATGTTTGTACTTGATTGCAGGACAGGGATGGCCAAGCAACGATAATTGCTCTCGAAACCATTCGCGAGGGAGATGAGGTAATTTCTCAGTTATAACTTGTGGTTCCACAGATTTGACTCCTGAAAATGAGTAAAAAATTCCATGCCATACATGTCCATCGCAGTTCTTCTGTGTGGAGTCCATGGCCACATTCAACATAACTATCAGCATCTTTGATATTTTCAATCATTTCCAGGTAACCATATCATACATAGATGATGACCTTCCTTTTGAAGAGAGACAAGCATCACTTGCAGATTATGGTTTCAAATGCAGATGCCTCAAATGCTTAGAGGAAGAGCCTCAAGCTACCCTAGAACACAAAATTTAAGATTTACTATCATGAGGGTGGGCATTGACACAACGGTAAAGTTGTTCCATTGTGACTGGAGGTCACAGGATTGAGTCGCAGAAACAACCTCTCTATTTGCAAGGGTGAAGTTGCATACATTTAACCCTCACTATATCCTGCAGTGGTAAGAGCCTCGTGTGTACTAGGTACAACCTTTAGGGAGGCCATAAGAGTGAAACATGACTTTTCAAAGGACAATGGTGGTGCTACATTTGGCCAAGGAATCTGTTGCTACCCTAGTTTATGAAACAATCAATATTTCTAATAAAAATGTGACACATGTAAATTTTGTTATATTATACCACCTTTTATTATTATTATTTTTTCAATCAATGATGACAAATCATCCAAATCAAGATTCAATGGTAAGTTATTAGTTTTGCCACATAGTACCGTAGCCTTATCATGCTCTTCAACATGACATTTTAAGTGAATGATTTGATAATCATGTATCTCTTTTTATTTCAAGTTCATATAAATCAAAATAGTTCATAATTGTATCCCATAGGCAAAAGTCACAACTGTTACAAAGGTTCTTGTACAAATGCTCATGATAGATCCCTCTACCCCTTCTTTTTTACACACCGATACCAACAGTTCTACTAATTATTTGAACTATTTCTTTGGAATCTTTTAAGCTAGACTTACTTGGTGGTGGTGTCCAAGTTGCCTAAGGGAAATGAAAAGCCACTTAATAAGGTTCAGTATTGTCCAAGGGGTTTGATAATTAAAAACATAATCTTTCAGCATATCATAAAAACCGTCTGGACTTAATGAAACAAGAAGATTATTCATTGTGACAAAGAACGTTGAAGGTCACGAGTCGAATAAAAAAGTTGTGTATATTTGACGTTTTCTAAACTTTGGAATGACAAAGTCTTGTGCAAGTGAGAAGAAATGTGGTGATTTTGGACAATGAAATTGGCATGTAGTGAAAAAATGGTAGAGAAAAATAGAGAATAGGTCGTAATAGCAATTCTCCACATATATTTACACTACATATTGAGTGAAAATTTTGATTTTTTGGGACCCACAAAATAATGTGAGTTGCAGGTACACACATTTGAGACGAAAAAATTAAGGGTTAATTATACCAGAAGTCTCTAAAGTATGTGATTTATCTGAATACTAGTTATTTCTTGTGTTTGAAAGTGCGAAGTAATAAGAAAAATGATCAATAATAAACATATTTATATTCACACCCAAAATCAAATTACAAACATAGAGGATAGAGAACAAATTTTAAGCACCAGTTGTAGTGGGGGTGAGCAGTGGTGGACATCAATAGAGATGGTAGGAGACGATGATAGTTGTGGTGAGTAGTGACGACTATGGTGGTAGTGGCAATCGTGAGTGACAACGGTGATGATGGTAATTTTTTGGTAATAATGATGATAGTGGTAGTCATGAGTGACGATGGTGGTGGTGATGAGTGAATGGTGGTGGATAACGGTAATGATAGTTGTCAGTAGTGGTGGTGGGACAACGACAATGGTGGTGGTGAATGACAATGACTGACGACAATAGTGGTGACAATGGATGATGGTGGATCATAGTAGTGAGTGGTGGTGGGTGCTGAAAGTGGGCGACATGGTAGTGGAATGATGATGGTAGTTATAATAAATATAAAAATGAGATAATGATGGTGGTAAGTGGTGGCGATGGACGACGATGGTAATAATTGGTGGTGGTGGTGGTGGTAGTGGGATAGTGACGGTGGTGATGATAGTGTTCGTGGAAGGTGTGGGGCATTGGAGGTGGGGGGTGATAGAGGTGATGGTAAGACAATGACGATAGTGATAGAATAACGACAATGAAGGTGGTGGTTGTTGTGGTGACAATAATGGTGGGGGTAGTGGTGGTGGTGGGGGATGGGGGGTAAGGTGGTGATGGTGGTGGGGGTAGGGTGGTGGCAACGGTGATTGTAGTGGTGGTGTGGTGGAGGTAGTGAGGTGACGATAATAATGACAGTGGTGTGGTGGGGCGGTAGGGGTGGTTGTGACACTGGTGGTGGGGGGATGGTTCTAAATACTACTTTTTTTTTAAAAGTAATTATAAAAAAATATAAATTTTAGATATACTTTTAAAAAATCACTCCAAACGCATCTTTAGAGACTTATTTTTTCTATTAAATTTGGGATGGTAATATTAATTGTCGGATTAACTTTGAAGTAAAATTAAATAGATATCAACTGCGAAAAATAAAAGTCATTTTGTTTATCTTTTGATATTTGAATTGTATTTTATTTTATTATACAAATATTTTTATGTAGTCTCTCAAGCAGACAATATTTAGATTGCTAACAATTTTTAATTATAAACTTGTAACGTAATACATAAATATGAACAAAAAAATAATTTAGATAAATTTTGATTAAATTTTTACCCAAAATTTGGTTAAAGAGCTACTCACATTATACAATTTTAATCATGAGTTATTTAAATTTTAGTCAAGAGCTACCGAATTTTTTTTTTATCCATATTTAAGTATGACATGATAAATTTATGATAAAAAATTATTGGTAATTTAAATATTGTCTGCTCGAGGGACTATATAAAAATTTATTTAATACTTTCAAAGAACAAAGTGACACAATTAAATATTGGTGATCAAAATAAGATAAACTCTATATTTTGAAGATCTTTATTCAATGCACTTAATCCAAAATTTAAAGAAAAATGTTACATAACCCAAATACAATTTAAAAATTAAAATTCAAATGTATATTATTCTTTAGATGTGTGTTGAATGAGTGAGTTATATTTAAAAAATTAATGTGACCCACTCATNTAAAATTCAAATGTATATTATTCTTTAGATGAGTGTTGAATGAGTGAGTTATATTGAAAAAATTAATAGGACTCACTCGTTTAAATGATAATATGTATTTAAGTTATAATATTTTAAATTTTATAATATTACTCAAATTTAAATTTTAATTGAGCAATGGATCCACTAAATCAATCAAATATTCGTTGCTTGAGATTTGATAAACAAATTGTGGTAACACAGTTTTATTCATTTTCATTTGGCCACCATAGCAATTGCTAGGAGAGATCTCCGTGGCAGTGGTGACTTGACACCAGCCAATCGTAGATCACCTTTTTTTGATACATAATCGTAGACTGCCCGACACGTACCACATCAAAACCCTATTTTAAGTATGATTCAATGGAATAAAATTAAATATGAAATTAAAATAATACGTTATTTAATCTAATTACTTATTTGATTAGAGAATTATTTTATCTTATTAATATTGAATTAATAAAGATACCCTCAATCAGTATTTATTATATTGATGATAACTTAATTTTATTATTTAGGAGTTATAATAATAAATATGTTGATTAATACGTTTGAGTTGGATTATAATATCATCTTTTTTGGTGGTATTAAAAATTTCTATAATACAGATCTATCGTATAAAAAATATATAATAAATATATATATTTAAAATTAATACTGTATTAAATTTACTTGTCAAACAAAATATTAAATTCGATTAAATAAAATACCAAACGAGCCGAATTGGTATATTTCCTTAAGACACAACCCCCAAACCCAAGTTACCCAACGCCTACGGTTACATTCCGAGGTCAATTTAGTAATTTCATGCAGCCCCTGACTCGGAGACAAACTTTCCTCGGCTCACGCCTCCTAATCCCGACCCTTCTCCGTCGAAACCCGACTGTCAGATCTCTCGCCGGCGCGTTGTCGTCAAACCACACCCACACTACACAAATTCAATTCTCTACCTCTTCAATTCTTAAACAACGGAGGATTAGAATCAAATTCACCGGCACCTCCGATCGCCGCCGTAGATACGAGCCAGTTTTAACGGCGATGGACTCGAACCCGCCGGAATCTGATCTATCTGTTTCAGATTTTGTTCACGTGGAGGATTTGAGTTCCAGTACTAATGCTGAGGGTTTGGATGCGAGTGTTGTGTCTGTGGAGGTGGATGAAGAGAGAGGTGATGATGACGCGGGGGTGAGTGCGGGAGGTGAAGGTGAAGGGGATGGCGGTGACAGGAAGGTTCTTCCAGAGGAGTTGTCGAGGAGTGTGATGATGCTTTCGTGTGAATCTTCAGCTGAAGGAGGGTCTTGCGACGTGTACTTGGTTGGAACTGCTCACGTTTCCATGGTAATTCAATTGGTTTTTGGCTTTTTACATATTAATATCGTTTGGTTGCCAACAAAATTGAGAAATGTGAGAAAATGTTACTCTTAAACAGTCATGTTAAAAAAAGTTGCAGTAAATGGGTGCCTAGATACATATTTCTGTGTAAGGATGCAAGGTTGATTGGAGGTTTTTTGCTATCTCGAACCTAAAAAGTTGAATCTTCTGTTGCAGTTTCTTGGAATTCTGTTGGTTGTAATGTGGTCTTCTTCTTGTTGGGTTTATTTTTTGAAGTTTTTTTCTTGGAATTGCAGATATAAGTGACGTAGCCTTCTGTTATCACATTTCAGTAGTTTAAACAATTTTTAACTTATGTGAAGTCTCACTATGATTATTTGGTGTTCTTTTTGCGTCATGTAATTGATCTAGTGGTTTATTGACTAATCCTTTATATGACTAAGCAAGTTGTGTAACAGTATCTCAGATTTTGGGTGTGTTTCCCTAAAGTTTGGTGCGTAACACAATATTAGATTTTGGGTGTGTTCCCTAAAGTTGGATTCCTATATTCATAAATGTTCGTAGCACTTTAGAATTTAGTTTTATCCATAGTTTTTCCAGTCAGTATTCTTTCATTCTGCATCTAAGCTACCGTACTAAGAATAAGAGAAAGACTTTCTCTCTTATTCCAACAATTTTGGTCTGCCACTATCTCCTTGTCCATTGATTACCACTTGATGAGATTTTCAAAAAGGAAAAAAAATTAACTGCAACAGTGGGTGTGACACAAACATCTATAAATGAAACAAATGGATAAAATGCAGCATGGAACATGCACATTAGTAGATTGTTTGTGAAATCTCAAAACTCAGTCAGTTGTAGTATTGACCTTCACATGGTCGGCAAGCAACCCAATAAACTAGGTTCCCCTGATCTTCGCTTAGCATTTACTTGGATGATCAAGGCGTTATTGGTATGTATGTGTGTATGTATCATTATTATTGTTTAATATTCTTCTGGCTGAAAAAAATTGTAAGTATATTTATGTGAAACAGTCATTGTTTTGCTCTTCTTTCTCCTTTCTTCAATCATTGCTTCTTATAAACCTGAATGTTTCAAGGTTCATCCTGACACAGGCATGAATGCACGTAATACCAGCATTCCTTGGTGCTTTCTACCTGCTAGATTAGGGCACCCAAGAGCCTTTTTTTTTAAGTCAACATGTCTCAGGGCACATTTGGCCTAAGCCCATTTTTACTTGACCGAAAAAATAGTTGAAGTAATTTTTTGTCTCTGTGGTTGCAGGAATCTTGCCAAGAAGTTCAAACTGTAATCAACTTCTTGAAACCACAGGTGCTTCTCTTTTGAAACTAATAACACTTGATTGATGGATGAATCCTTTAGCAGGTTAGCTGCCTGCATTATATTGTTTTCTTTTGTATTCATCTTGGAATATTTCATAAAGTTCAATTTAAACTTATTGACTACAGGTGGTGTTTTTGGAGTTGTGCTCAAGTCGTGTGGCTGTACTTACTCCACAAAATCTAAAGGTCTGTGTTTTTTTTGCATCTTTTATGTACTCTTTCTCTTTTTGATTTTTTTATCTCATTTAATAGCTTTTTATGCCTTTTTTAATCTTTTTCTTTATTATGACTATTATCTTCTGGAAGTGTTTTTGTCCTCTGAAGCGGACCTTTGATGTTCCGTTTTTTCCTCTCCTTTTCCTTCTCATTTAAATTAATGCAACCTTTTGGTGCACCTCATTGTTGAAGATTCCAGCTAAAAAGCCACCAAATGGTTTAGGAAACTTTAATAGGTAGAAAATGTGTAGGCTTGGTCTATGCAACTTTGTATTTCCATTTCAAAAGAAATATAAGATGGCTTATCAACCAGCCCAAATGCTAGAGCAATTTCCAGGTATGCCCTCTCAACTGGAGCAGCAACCTCACAGATAGAATAGATTAAAACAATCAGGTCTCCTGTCAAAAAATTAAAACAATCAAGACCCAACTCTTTGAAGCATTTTTATGTCGAGGGTTTCCAGTTGTAGCTGTTCTTATGGGGTACCAAAATGCAGTCATAGATGGAAACTAATATAACAATGGATAAGCTGATCGACAATTGTAGTGAAGCATCTGGTACTTGAAGCTGAACTAATGAATCTGTCCATAATAAGTCCTTGCTTGGTATATAAAGTCGATTACTTGTTGCAACAATATCATATGCTAAACAAGTCACCCATTCATATTAGAAAAATCCTCACAACTGCCTTTGCCTCTTCAGCTTCACTAATGCTACATACCTTCCCATCTTTCTTTGAATCATCATGTGCAAGCAAGCGGCAAGGCTTTGTTAAGAAACCTGTAACGAATTGAACTTTTTCAATTGAATTCAAGCCAACCTCTAAAATTTCACCTTAAACTTTCTAGTTGCCAAGTTTAGGGCTTTTCAGTACATCCAACCAGTAACAAAGGCTCACTTCAATTGAGTTCATGCCAAACCTCTAGAAATATCACCTTAAGCTTTCTAGTTGTCAAGTTTAGGGTTTTTCAGCACATCCAAGGTGTAACCCCGTGCAGTTCCTGCCAAATGCCAAGTATTTCTCATTATCTTCATATTATATAACTGATAGTCAGATTGGTCCATATGATTATAGCGTGTTTTTCACTTATCAAAAAGGAAAAATTGTCCTTGGTTTCATGAATTTGGAGCTTAGGCGTATTGTTTTGTTCTGCTCTTGCAAAATATTTAATAATTTTTGGAAATTATATTACGGTCGTTTCTAGCTGTACCGTACAGCTAAATCACCTCATCTTTAAGACACTAGTAGGTGATCCCAAGCCGATGTACCCGTTGTGGGAATAATTAGGATTTTGTTAATCCATTTGCCTTCACTTATTATAGTTTTTATTGGCTTTACACTATGGTGAACTGAGGCTTTGTAGAGAATAAGGGTAAATGCCGTGGATTCTTTTCCTCTCTATGCAAGCTTGTAAAGTACGTAGATTCTTGGAATTAAGATGTATTTTCTGATGTTTGGAGCAATGTTATTAGAACTGGACCGGTCATCGAACCGGTTAGGGGACTAGATCAATGGTTCACTGGTTCAACCGGTGGGTCAACTGGTCGGACTGGTCATATAATAAAAAAATAAAAAATATATATAATAATTATAAAACATCATTTTTCGGAATTAAGTCATTTAGGAATTAGGAATTACCACACTTTTCCACGTACATTCAAACTCAAGACTCAAGAGAAAGACTAAACCGACAGAAAAGAAACAACCCCACCACCCAAACTCCCCACCCCCGAAACAAAACCAAAAGAAACCCACAAAAGACTATCAAGAAGAAGATCAAAGATTGGGGTTTGTTTTTTCAAAATCTGAAATAACGAAAGGGCATTAATCAGGAAGGGGCAGGGACGAATGGGCACTGCAGTTCTTGACAAGATAATCGAAATGTTAACCGAGGTCCGATCTTCCAAGCCAGAGAAGGTAGTGCAGCTTTTGGAGTTAGAAATCAAGCAGCTATGTGTTGCGTGGCGCGACATCTTCATGAAACAACAAAATCTTCTTGAAGCACCCATCAAGATTTGTGGTATTCGTAATTAAGTCATTTAAATTTCATTTTTCATCAAATCGTCCGATTTTTATAAAACCGCCGGTTCACAGTTTTTTATAAAACCCTGCCGGTTTTTCAGTTTTTAGCCAGTTCTCTTCCTTATGCGGTTCAATTAGAAAATCGGACCGGTTAAGGCTCCGGGTCACTGTTGAACCGGTTAGACCGGCCGGTCCGGTCCGGTTCTGATAACACTGGTTATGATTCCTTAATCCATCCCTTACTATTGCAACCAAAAGACACCTATTTGTTCAGTTTGTTGTATCTTGTCAAAGTTGCTGTCATTTCACAGCTCAAAGCATGGGGGCTTAGTATGTTTTCCCACATGTTATATAGGTCTCAGCTGATATATGAAATCAAATCTTCCACCACATTTCTTTGATTTTTCAGCTAGTATGATACCTGGCCTTCGTATTTTGGTGCGGTTACATCTATGTTTGATAGAAGTTCTTTGTCAAGCCTTTACTTGTCGAATTATCTTTTTAACTTGGGTAGAGTAGTTCTTCTTGTAGTATATATTCTTGACTGTATGCTTCTTTTCTTTCATTAATGAATTTTAAATTTTTTGCTATCTATACTAGATGATGTGCTTGCCATAAATATTCACTCTGGTTCACCAGGTGCCAACTATGGGAGAAATGATAGATATGTGGAAGAAAAAGAATAATCTCTTTGGAATACTCTACAGCTGGTTTCTTGCTAAGGCATGATCTTGATCCTTAAGTTTCTAATAAATTATTCTACTGGTTTTACACATTTCTTCTGGAACAATGTATATAATTATTTTTTATTTGGTTCATATATCATAATTTTTTCTTGCCCACATTTATTTATACTTTGTTAGGTAGCTAGTAAGCTTGAGGTTTTTCCTGGAGCTGAGTTTCGTGTGGCATTTGAAGAAGCAATGAAGTATGGTGGCAAGGTCATACTTGGTGATCGGCCCGTGCAGGTAAGATATTCTACTCAGTTTGTTAAACTTCTGATAAACCCCGTGGTTGTTTATTACTTTACAAGATTGATTCAATTCCTGTAGGAACGCATGGTTGATTTGGCAAATATATTGCTTGTTTCAACTTTCAAACACCAGCATGGCTTATTGTCCTCTTGGTTTAAAGAGTTTTTTCAGGGTTATGGTTGTGGTATTTTGGGGAAGGGGAGAAGAGAAGTAGAGGGGTGCTTGAAAAAGATGAAACCTCTATATTGGCTTGTTGGGTTACTTATTTCTTGGGATGCATGAGAGTTTTTTGGCCTGACATTACCAGTGATTGTGGTTCTATTTTGAATAGCCTTTACCGAGCTCTCCTTCTATGGCCACCAACAAACTGTTCCACATATTTTTGGGTCATCATCCTGGATTACCTGCTTCTTGTACCCTTTTGAGGATGTCAATCTTTATCTGTATTGGTCTTCTACACAATTCTACGTGTTCATAAGTATTTTACTTTTTCCACCATAGTGAAGTTTTAAGTTGGAAATTTTGAAAATTGTATATCTGAACGTTTGGTTTTGTAAGTTGTCCTACTTCCCATCTCCATCATTGTATGAGCCACTTCTTAATCTTGTGCAATTGGATGGTCATATCATATGTGGATTATTTTGTGAACTAACTCAGTTGTGAATTTGGTGTTGACTGAATAGATAACATTGCGGAGGACATGGGCAAAAATGCCACTTTGGCATAAGACAAAATTGTTGTACTCCCTATTATTCCAAGCATTTTTCTTACCAAGCCCTGAAGATCTCAATAAAATGGTAGGCTTTCTTACGTCTAAAACTAACAGGCAGGTTTCTTTGCATAATGTTCACTTATTCTGATTTGGTTTTGCCTGTGTCCAGCTGAATGAAATGGACGATGTCGACATGTTGACTCTTGTGATTCATGAGATGAGCAAGGAGTTCCCCACTCTGATGGAAACACTCGTGCATGAGCGTGATCAGTTAGTATTTGTAACTTGCACTTTATGTTACATTGTTCTTACCATTAAGTTTCTTTATTTCTACTACTCTTTGGGGAGGTACAATATCACTTTGCTTTTAGTTAGATTGTGAAGTTTTAGGTTTAGAGAAGGAGAGAAACTTGGAGAAGCAAAGAAGAGAAAAATAAATCATAACTTAACATTTCTCCTTGGCGCATAAATATTAATCATGCTTGACTTGCAAACAATAGGGCGAAAAACCTTGCTACTAAGCCCTTTAGTGAAAACATTGGCCAGTTGTTTTTTTGATTTCTTAAAGAGTATGCAAATCAAACCCTTGTTTAACTTCTTTTTTTTTTCCTTTTTTTTGATAGTGCCAGTCAATCTCAACGTGACTAGTTTAATCATGTCGAACTAAATTATGAGCAATATAGATAATGGATTTATTATCATAGTATAGTCTAATAGATCCATCACCATGAATTCCTAACTCTCCCATTAAGATTTGGAGCCACATAAGCTCAAATTCCATAAGCGATGGCCTGTATTTGCACTACACCTAGCTAATACAGCTCATCTTTTGCTTTGCCTAGTGGCAAGGTTCCCTCCTATCAAGTTACAGTAACCCGAAGTAAATCGTCTGTCATTCACTGAACCTATCCAGTCTACATTAGTAAGTGTTTCTAGCTTCAAGTGGCCATGACGGAAAACAAGATAGGCCGTAGGTTTTGAGTATGTTGCTTTAACAAGAACCTTATTTTCCTCCAAATAATTGGTGAATAAGTTTGACAAGATATTGAGTAAAAGTATGATTAGATGGTGAGAAAAAGATCTGAAAATGTCAGACGAACTGGTCCTTAATCTCTCGTGGATATCCACAACACCTGTAACTTCTTCAAGAATCTCGGTATTTTTTCTGCCACTGATTGTGGTTGACTGAAAAATTTCTGTATTAGCACCCCTTCCTCTAGCAAGAGCACTTCTGATCTTTGCTTCTATAGCAATTCGTGTCTTCTAATATTCATTTTAAATTCTATTTTGATAGCTTTTTACTCCCACTGGTTTTCCTCTGAAGGTTCAACTTGTTGAATTTTACCAATTTGCTACTTCCACTGTTTCATTAATTGGAAACAATTGCCAACATGTTCCTTGTTCCATGCCTTCAAAACTTGTATAGTGTCTTCTAGGTGCTTGCAAACCAGAAAGCAATTGAGCCTTTTGCTAATGACTTGGGCCAAGCACGGTAGGCAACCTAATGGCTTGATGGGTCTCTAACACATATCCTTTTAACTAGGAAAGGACTCTAAAATGCAAATTTTTCTCCGAATGTATTTAACGAGTGGAGCATTGTCAGATTTGATAGTCGGGAGATGCTTGATGTTAGCTACAGGAAACAGGGTTCTCCATCCCCCACTGGGCTCTTTGTCCATCCCAGGGTTGCAATCACTCAATAGCCTTCCTCTGATGTTTTCTGGCCTCTGTTTTATTTGACCAAGTGAAGGCATTTCCAGCAAAGCCTAGATCAACCAAGCCTTCATCATTACTGAGACCAACTAGTGTAACCCTCTCCGTCCCTCTGCCGACAATATATTGTTGATATCTTTGATTAATAGGGATCTGACTCGATAAGTGTTGAAGATATATTCAGTAGTGTTCCAAAGTTGGTATTGCTTATGTGTGTGATAGCTAGAGCATAAATACTGTTGACGAACACCACTTTTGCCTTCAGTTGGTACCACTTCATGCTTGACAAACTGTCTCTTCTTGGGATGCTAATTGTGTGTTGCTTGATTATGTTTGTCCAAGAAAGAAAAATCCAATCTTGGTTATTATTCTATGATTGATCTGCAGATTGCCAAGGTGTGAGCTAACCTTGACAGTTCCAAGCTAAGTGTATACTAGTTAAAAGGGACAGGGCTTGCTGGAAGTTCGAGTGATGAGTTTTGCAAATGAGATGGCTGAGTGGAAGCAAGGAGGATGGGTTTTATAGGGAAATGGTTAGGTCTGAGCAAGGATTTCATGGTCTCAAAAAGGGAATGGGTCGGGTACTAGTTACATAGACAAGGTTATATTAAGTTTCATAATAGGGGCCCTTCCATCACTGTAATGGAGTTGAAGATGTAGTTGTAATCTCATTCCTCCCTACTGCTTCATTTGACACCCCTCGCCCAGGGATATTGTCAACTTAAAAAGCACGTGGATTGGACTCAAACTGATGCATCGTGAACAGCCCTTATTTATTTACTTATTTTTTGCTTTGTTCACGATTACACTTATTTTTTGATGCTGGACCCACCTCCTGGTGTTTGAATCTGTTATAATATTGGTTTTAATATTTTGAAAATACTCGGTCTTATTGCGTTGTTTCTTTAGGTACATGTCATCCACGTTACTAAGAGTTGCTAGCGAGCACAAGACAGTTGTTGCTGTTGTTGGAAAAGGGCACCTTCAGGGAATTAAGAAGCACTGGAAGCAGCCTGTTGAGGTTCGTAACTATTTCCTTATCGGAAGCACCTAGAATCATACTAGAGTTATAAACCACCAGAGCAATGGATGACCAGCTCTTTTGAACTTCTCATCAATTCTTTGCTTTTTTTTTTTTTTTTGGTCCTGAATTATCCCTTCCTGTCGTGGCCTTATTTTTGACATTTGAAAATGAAATGTGTTCCAAGTGGAAGGAGAACCGAGTGTCCTGTTAACATTTCTTCAAGGGTGTGATGACTTACTCTGAGGCCCCCATAAACATAGACGCAGCTGAGAATAAACTCTCTCCCTGACTCCCTACCCCATGCTCAGAAAATAGAAGCTATGTGGGGAGCTATTCATTCCTCTTCTCGGAATTGAACTACCTTTTCTCCCTGAAGCTCTTAGGGTGGGCCATGAGACAAAAAAGATGACCTCCATCAATGTTAGCGAGACCGTTCTCTCCATTTTTGAATCATAGGTTTTGTCATGAACTTTCTTTTAAAATGTTTTTATTCCTAATAACTAGTTATTGTGTTGTCAGGTGGAAAATCTTCTTAATATGCCTTCACAGAAACCTGTTGTCTCTGCTGTGAAGATTCTCACAGGCCTTGGAGTTGCAGTTGCTGGGGTGGCCATTATTTCTGGAATTTATTTTTCGAGCAAGAAATAGTGACAGTTTCCTCCTAGCTTAAAGTGGCGAACTTGAGTTTATTCTCTAAAGAAATTATACTGTGCTTGATACACAAAAAATGCGTGTTTTTAGTCTGCAAATAATGATTTTGCCAACGGTTGAGGAAAGGTTCTACCGAGCCAATGTTTTTTCCTATGATTATTTAATTTTTTTTTTCAAATTTGTGTACATTTTTTTTTCATTGAATAGTTGACGAAAAGTTTGTCACACGTTGCTGTTCTTCCTTGCTTCACATAGGATTTTTAAGGTTTAAATTTGCAAGTGAACAACCAGTTGAAATGATTTTACGAGGCAAACGATGCTCTATGCACAAAAAATGTTCCCTAAAACTTACATCAAATCACTTGCAGTCGTTGAATTAGTGAGTTTCATTACTGATTCAACGACAACAGTTAATTTAGTACAAGTTTTGTTGCACAAATTTGGTGTATATAAAATTATCCTTACAAGACAGTTAAAATTACTATAATTAATGTTGATAATTAAATGAGCTCTCGTTTTTTAAAATAAGTGTAAATTTTTTTTTTTGATTAAGAGCCTAAAAAATTGTTTAAATTAAAAAAAAAAAACCTTAAAATGAGACAAATTTAAGCTTGTCGATATCATTTTTTAAACAAATTAAAAAAAATTATTTAAATTTAACTTGTTTAAAAAATGAGTCAACCTAAATAAATTAAATTTAAATAATTTAGATTCAATTATCACTCCTAATTATAGTGGTCGATCTTTTTTGATCTTTCTAGAATTTTTTTGTTTGCTATAAAAAAATGACTGGTGGTCAAGACCCGAAAGTGTATAAATGTTCATAGTGTTGTAATTCCACTCTGTAAATTCCATAAAATATTTCTTCACAGTATTCTTAACTTATATGGTAATAAATAAACAAGTAAACAAAATAAACTTCATTTCTTTACATAAATCATTTTATTCACTTGTTTAGTAAACAAAATAAACTTTATTTCTTTACATAATCATTTTATTAACTTATTATTAAATGATTACACCTTTTCAACTTATTATTAAATAATTAGTTATTGTCTGTGCCTAACTACACAGAATAATAAAAAATAATAATTCATATCCAAAATCAAATCACAAACATAAATAAATTTAAACATCCATTACAATAGAGGTAAGAGATGATCGGCAACATTGATGGTGGTAGGACACAGTAATGATTGTAGTAAGAGGTAATGATTATGGTGGCAGTGGCGTTGATGACATTTACAGCAATAAAGGTGGTGACAACAATAACGGTAATAGTAGTAAAGATAATGATAATAGAGTTGGTGGTAAGAGAGATATCATAGGATTTCAAACACTATTATTTTAAAAATACTTATAAGAAATAATTTTTAAAAAATCACTCCAAACACACCTTAAGAATTTATTTTTTCTATTAAATTTAGATTATTAATATTATCCACTAAATTAACTATAAAATAAAATTTAAAACAATCTAAACCACAAAAAACAAAAACCATTTTGTTTATTTTTTAAAATTTAAATTGTAACCTATTTCATTATATAAATTAAGCCTCATAACAATATGTTATACGTTTTAAAAATACTCTAAAATTTTGAATGATCTAATGAGAATACTAGAGCCAGCTCGTCCAATTCCAACATATATCTTTTTTTTTTTTTTGCTAGTGTCTCCCTATTTTTTCATACTTTTATCGTCAAAACATGAAAAGAGAGAACACAATAAGAATCAAATTTCTAATTTGCACGATATCATTTCCATGTAGAATTACTCTCACCAATTTCACTAATTTTACAATGAACATAAATTTAGACCAAAATGTTATGTTTGAATACTAGACATTTATTAAAAAATGCATGAACTCAGAATTCTTCAAAACAATCATTCAAAATGTCCCATAAAAAAACCATCCAAAGGCTGAACAAATCCACCAATATCATTCTATCATCAACATAACCCAAGAAAAAATGTATGTGGTGTTTCCAGGATCAAATGGCATTGAAAGAACCATTTATCAGGATAGCCACAACTAGGTTTCGCGCCCGAGCCATTACACCGAGAGGAACCAACTATCCCCCAGAATTGGTAATGGACGCAGTTTTTCTGTTTCACAACAAATCAAACACAAAGTCTCAACTCAACCCAACAAAACTTTATCCCAACCTTTTTCGTATCGGCTACATGAATCCTATTCCGCCATTAAGCAATCAGACATTCCCATGATTCAATGTGGGCATTCATATTCAAAAATCCAATCTACGATTGTCTATTACATGATTATTCCTACAAGCAAATTAATTCCTACTTAATAGACGAGAAATGATTTATTATTCAAAATCTCAATCTCGAACATGTGCTCAGTGGAAGGAGAAGTCGTTAAAAAGAAGGGCTCACGGCGAGACATTGAAGCCTACGTCCACTGCCCAAAAACACCCAATGGTGTCTAATATCATCATAGCACACACACCCATTAACAAATTAAAATCTCTTAAAAACATATTCATGAACAAATTATAAAAATAAAATTAAAAATGACATAAGTAACAAAAAAAAAATGATGAAGAAAAAAATTAAAGGGGCTTCAGTGTGTGTAACAATCAGATCATTGATATTACTATCTCACTGAAATCCGCTAAGATAATTAAAAATTATCATNAAAATTAAAGGGGCTTCAGTGTGTGTAACAATCAGATCATTGATATTACTATCTCACTGAAATCCGCTAAGATAATTAAAAATTATCATCATTAGCCACATCCATTCAAAAAATACCTGCTATTATATATACATACATAATTTTTTGACTAATAAAAGTGAAGAAAGAAAAGGGGTTTTGACAAAAGTACCATTTTCTTCCCGTGGAAATATTTAAATTCAGTAGCTATCAAAGTAGACATGGAAAAAAAAGAAGGAACTGGTGGGTTTTATAGGTGTATGCATGCTCAGACAGCCAAGGGTTTGTCTTCAATTTCTGGGAATTATTACCCAGAAATCAGAAACTCTAGTCCACAATAGCTTCATCACAGCACACACACACACACACACACACAACGGATATAAATGAAACTCAAACCTATATGAGAAAAAATCAAAACCCTGAAGTGAAAAAGAAGATAAGTGAAGGCTTTGGGGTACAGACGGTGATGAGTACAACAGTGGGCACATACAGGCCTCCTCCTCTCTGTTAGTGCGTGTTTGTGTGAATATATATCCGAAGTGTTTAGGGTTTCTGACTGGGGGTTTATGTTTGGTTTGAGCCGAATAGGTGAAGGAGAGAAATAGTGGGCCGCGTTGTTGAAATTGACCGGCCCAGATAGCCCAATGCTATTTTTCGGACGGTGGCTCGTCTTTCTCGATAAAGTTTTGCGGGTCTGTTTGGTTAAAAAAAAAAACGAATGATGAAAAGTAAAAATGAAATGAAAAAAAAATTAAAAAAATATTTGTATATATGTATTTGATTAGCATGAAAAAATTACAAGAAAGTTTAAAAAAAATTCTTTCTATTATTTGAAAAAAAGAAAAATTACAAGATTTTTTTTAAATTGTCTAAATTACATTTAATTATATATCTAAAGACTCAAACAAATATGTATTACACATAATTGAAGATTTTAATTTAGAGAAATTACTAATTATAGTTATTGAATTAAATAAATTTCATCTAACATTAGAACTTGGGTCCTAATTATGTCCCAAAATTACGTGTTGCTCAAAAATTAAATTAAAGATGGTGATAAAAAATGAAATTTAAACATGTGGATTTCCAACATTAATTCTCTTCAATGTGACTCATATTCTTCTATTGTATTATTTCAAATGCGAATCTTTTACATATAGGATGGCCTAAAAAAAAAAAAACCCCATGGCTTCACTTGTGATTCAACATACCATATGGAAAAGAAAAAAAAGAGAAGGGTCTCGCTCATGTAGCTCCTGTAAGGTAACGCTTTAAACTCAAACAAAGAACATTCTTATCGAAAACATGAGTAAAAAAAAATGATGTATATATCTAATGTAAGACCCGTCGATAAGCTAAGGCTATGACATGAATGAAGGCTATAAGAACTATAGAACCACGCTCACCAGAGCTATAAAAAAAAGAAAAGAATTAGAAATCTTTGAGCACTAGAATTTTCTGATTTTTGTATATAAAGCCATTGTTTCTTTCCCAAACCGTTTTGGGATTGTTCGAACAGTCATAAACTCGGGCTCTTGCATTCATACATCAACTAGAGTTTTCCATGCTACTATACTTCACAATTTCTAACATTGAGATATTCTAAAAGTAACAGAGCAATCTTACGCTGGTTATTCTTTATTACATAAGTTCACACATGTTCAAGCATAATCATAATATAAATCACTCTTGAATATAGCTCTTATTGAAGCAAAGACGAGGCCAATATAATCAAGGATAGACCTCAATAACAGACCTCAAGCCTAGAACAAGAGTTATTTTCTTGCCAATAACGCCAGCATCAAAGAAGAGTTTTGCCCACTATTTCTCATGTCTCTCCCTGCCCGTCAAATTAACCATCATTAAGAGTTGTGTTTCAATTGTCTCGTCATCTACTTTTTGATTTTGCATGATCATGTCGATGATTATAATCTTTCCTCTTTTGTCCTTGCTTGGGATCATCTCTATTCATTTCTTTAGAATTCTCAGGCACTCTTCATCGCTCTAGTCATGTGACATCCACTGCTTATCATTCATATAAAAATTATTCATTTCACGACAATGATGTCTAAGGAAAAAACAAAAAGAAAATAACCACACGTTTGCTAGCTAAAGATGTTTAGTTCAGAGTTTCAAGAATTTGGTGACATAATAATTTTTGCTAACACATTNCCAAAAAGAAAATAACCACACGTTTGCTAGCTAAAGATGTTTAGTTCAGAGTTTCAAGATTTTGGTGACATAATAATTGTTGCTAACACATTTAGGGAATTTTTGTTTTTGACCTCAGCGGTTGATCACTATCACAAGTCTCAT